AACCAAAGTGCTCTTCCAGCAGTCACCGGCTAATCCCTCTCCAATGCCAGAAATACAACTTAATGGTGTAACATTAGAAAATGTTGACCATTTCCGATAACTTGGCAGCCACCTCTCCACCAAAGTCAACATTGACACTGAAATTCAACACCACCTGAGCTCTGCGAGTGCAGCATTTTTCCGAATGAAGCTATTGACCTCCCAACCCTGCTATATGCCTGCAACATCTGGACAGTCTACAGAGGCCACATGCAACTCCTGGAACAATTACATCAGTGCTGCCTCCGGAAAATCCTGCAGATCTCCTGGGAAGACAAGCAGACAAATGTCAGCGTGCTGGAAGAAGCAAAGACCACCAGCATTGAAGCGATGGTCCTCTGCTATCAACTCCGCTGGACTGGCCATGTTGTCCGGATGCCCGACCACCGTCTCCCAAAGCAGTTGCTCTACTCCGAACTCAAGAACGGAAAACGGAATGTTGGTGGTCACGAAAAGAGATTTAAAGACGGGCTCAAAGCCAACCTTAAAAACTGTGGCATAGACACTGAGAACTGGGAAGCCCTGGCCCTTGAGCGCTCCAGCTGGAGGTCAGTGTGACCAGCAGTGCTGCAGAATTTGAAGAGGCACGGATGGAGGGCAAAAGAGAGAAACGTGCCAAGAGGAAGGTGTGTCAAGCCAGCCCCGACCGGGACCGCCTCCCACCTGAAAACCGATGCCCTCACTGTGGGAGAAGATGCAGATCAAGAATAGGGCTCCACAGTCACCTCCGGACCCACCCCCAGGTTACCACTCTTGGAGGACCATCATCCTCGGACTACGAGGGATCGCCTAAGTAAGTATGTACTCAATGAATATAAAACTTGTAACTCAGAAGTTTGTCCCTCTATGGATTGTTACCTTGTTGTGGTGAGGGGGCTTGCGTGTTCCAATGAACCATGCCACTGGTTGGGACCCTCACTCTATGAAGACTGTGTGTTGATCAGATATGCACCGACCCCCACACATTTAAAAAACTCATGCACAGGCACTTGGAAGGCCATCATATTCAGACAACAAGGGATCACCTAAGAAGGAGAAGGAGAAGACCTCAGAAGAAGAGCTTTCCTTTCAACAGAGAACATGCCAAAAGCTCGGCAGTTTGGTGTAATTGGTGCATACTTTCAGTGGTGCATCATGAATTTACGGCCATTGAGCGCTGAAAAGAGAGCTGTCCTGACATACAGTTTGTCCTGAACCCTGTAGCAAATGCCTGCTTTCAACTACATATACACATAATTGGGAACTACAAGGGTTGGGGGAAAAGTAATGCCTCCACCTTCGTTACTTGGGTTTGGATGGGAATATTTTAATAAATCAAACACAGAAATAATCCTTAGAATGTGCTCTTTAACTACCACTATTCACTTTTCTACATACTCACTAAACAATTGGATACATTTGGACAATTGCCCACAAGCATGTGGACAATTTCAACAGAAAGGAGGAAACCATGAAAATGAACAAAATCTGGCTACCAGTATTAAAAAAAAAACTCTAAAATTACAACAGCAAAACAACAGAGGGAAAACAATCAGGGACATCTAATCACCTATCAACAAAAGATTGCCCCAGGCACTGCCAGGCCATCCAATGCTAATCAAGGTGGTCAGTTGAAACATTCACACCTAGCTCCAGCAGACAAGAGTTCTTTGTCCCACCCTGGTCATTCCACAGAAATATAAACCCATTTTCCTAGTTCCGACAGACCTCACTACCTCTGATGATGCTTGCCATAGATGCAGGCAAAACATCAGGAGGGAATGCCTCTAGAACATGGCCATATAGCCCGAAAAAACCTACATTGGATACATTTCTGCAAACGAGGAACAAGTTTTCTGAAGCCGTCACGGAAGAAGTCGATACTCTGTTTCAGCAACCAGGGTCTCATAGTACTCTCATCCTGGGTACCCATCGTGCACAGATCTTCCAATAGCCAAGCAAAGCAATAATGTGACCCACACGTTCTTGTGAAATGCTGATTATGTTTGCAATTTCTCTCTGACTGATATGACAATTGTCCTGAATCAATCTGTCAACCTTTTGCTTGTGAAACTCAGTGGTTGCTCTTTGTTTGTCACGCAAGTCAGATGTTCCCACCTCAACATCTTTAAATTTACTTGCCCAGCGACGCACAGTACTCACGTCAACACAATCGCCATAAACAGCTTGCATTCTCTGATGAATCTCCTTTGGGGTGACACCTTCTGCTGTCAAGAATTCAATGACTGCACGTTGCTTAAGTCGCATTGACCGACTGTCTGCGCAGGATTCCATACTTCCCACTTTAACAACACAACTATTCAATGCTAAGGCTTCCCGACAAAATGGAACTGTAGAGGAGAGTCTACTGAACAAGCCAGTACCTGCCACATACCAGTACGGCCATCTGTTGAGGCGTTACGAAGGTGGAAGCATTACTTTTTATTCAACCCTCATATTATTGATCTTGTCTGTATATGAGAGATAGAAAAGTACTTGTTACATGTGTAATAGTATGTGGGATATTGGATTTATTTAACAATTGTGTTAAATGAGAGCTGTGCAAACTATGAAGATCCAGCAGCCATTGTCCTCTGATGATCCGTATCCTAATCTTGAAAAAAGGTTTAATCCCCCAAATTTTAAATATCCTGATATTTATTTTCTTGTGTTTTGATTGGGAGTGTTTGTTTGTTTGTCTTAAAAATGGGAGTACTTTGATAAACAGGATATTTCAAAAATATATAACCATCTTCTGGATAAGATGTTAAAGCAATTCTGTTATCTGGGAATCTTCTATTGCTGTATCCAGATCTCAAACTTGTCATAGTTTTGTGAAGTCCAAAGCGTCTTGTAACCTGGAAGTGTTACCTTTCGAGCTATAATTCTTAGACTCTCTCTGGGAGTTCAAAAAAATCTGAAAATCCAGATGAAATAGTGGTATGTTTGGCAGTGTAGCGAATTTGTTGATCTATGTTAAAAATTTTATGCATAGCTCTATGTTGCAATGTGGCAGACTTGGCTCAAATAGGGTAGCAACAGTAGAGGCAAGATTAATCGGCATATGTGCAGCCGATTGGTCGTATGCAGATGAGTGTAGGCCAGGGTTTGAAAAGGCCACTGAGCCAGAATGGCAGTTGGGGGAAGAGAGCTGAACATACCAAAAGGGGCGGAGTTAAGTTTAAATATAGGCAGTTAGAGAGTCAGAAAAGATCAGTTATGGATTTCTGTTTGTGAGGTACAGTTAGGAACTTCTGTGAGAGAAAAGCAGTTAGGAACATGGAGCTCAAGTTTTAAAGAAAACAAAGACGTGCCAGTGTTGTTTGAGGCAGAATATAGTTCTGTCAAGAGTGTATGAAAAAGTAACATATTTGTTGATGTGAAACAGTTGAAGTTTGATAGGAAAAGTTGACCAAGTGGGTGATATTGAATGTAAGACTCAAGACTGTAACAGAACACACAAATGTAACCATAAGCGTTGGAGCCAGAAGTTATAAATAAACTTTGTTACTTAGTTTATTACAAGAGTGTCTCAAGCCTGTGATATAAAGTCTCAAGGTAAAAGCTCACAAGAAAGCCCCAGCCAATTTTAAAGGGAATATAAGTGATTTTAATGTTTGTATATATTTATGGTTTTATGTCCCGGCATTGAATGTTTGCCATATATATGTTGTGCTCCGCCCTGAGTCCCCTGTGGGGTGAGAAGGGAGGAATATAAATGTTTTAAGTAAATAAATAATAAATGAGTTGCAATTCCCTGAAGGATCAGGTTCATGGTTGTGGAAAGATCCAGATTTGTCACTGCTGGAGACCTGAGTAGCATAACAATGTCTGGTAGATCACCTATAACATCTTGTGGCTGTTAATAGCCTGTCCTCAGATAGCCTCTAGATTAAATTACAGCCACAATGCATTGTTGCTGCATTTCAGAACTGCTCAGAAACTGGAGTTCAAAATAAAGCCAACAGACTTCTAATGGCATCTGTCTGATGGGAACCACCTCACTTATTCTTAATCATCTTCACTGGTTCCTCCTGGACCATTTCCATTCACAGTTTAATGTTCTGTTGCTTCTCTTAGAAACCCTATATGCTTTGTGACCTAAAGGCTCTCCTCCGCCAATGTGAATCTGACCCAAATTTGGCAAAGTTTTTTTTTTAGCTCCCAGAATCACCCAACCCGTTTTGCAAGTGGAGATTCCTGCAATTTTTGGAGGGGAGGTATGTTGTCGAAGGCTTTCATGGTCAGAATCAATGGGTTGCTGTGAGTTTTCCTCAACCTTTGAGGACCCCTCAGCCTCTGAGAATGCCCGCCATAGATGTGAATGAAACATCAGGAGAGAATGCTCCTGGAACATGGACATACAGCCTGGAAAACTCACAGCAACCTACAGTCTTTGAGGTCTTTTTCAGGATCTTCATGGTTTCTGAGACTCAGAACTTCAGCTTTTAGTGAAGACTTTCAGATATATAGTTTTGGCACCCTAGTTTGGGATTGTTTTCCTTGAAAATATGGAACGGTTTGTATTTACTTCTTTTTTTGCTGAAGGCAGGCAAAGACCTTATTTACACAATTTTACAATCCTGACTGAACTGATTTTATTTTTCTGCTATGGTTTTTATTGTTTATAGGATTTTTTTATTTTATTTTTTTAGCTCTCTTTTATTTGATTTGTTTACTGCCCTAGGAGGAGTAACACGAAAGCTGAGATACTTACTTTTAAATTAAGCAAATCCTAATACTGCCATCCTATGTGTACATACTGCTGTGTGCATCTGAATTGGGTTTATGAATTAACATGCACAGGCATTTATGGATCATGAAGTTCATTTATGTTTATTGACCCTCTGATTGAAAATGTTTTCTATCGGCAATCACCATTTATTGTATTTTAAAGCAAGAAAACTAAATTCAACCATGCTTAAGACAGGGTTCCATGAAATGAAATGTTCTGCTTTGAGCAAGAGTAAAACCCGCTTAAATATCTTTAAATTATATATCATTTATTGAAATATAAAGATCTCAATTTACATGTTTTTTTAAAAGACAAAAATACGAATGGGGCATTTGCATTACATTTTGTACCTATGGCAACTCATTCTAGCTTGTTCTCATATATTTCACAATATCGTCACCTTGGCCTCTCTTACTCGCTTTTCTCATTCTACAATATAAATTTTGGACATTTAAAAGTGCAACAGCGTGCCTGCGGAGTATATCACAGTAAAAAAAATTAACAAAGGCAGTGATACAGCTTGTTATAAATGTTTGGCAGTACTTCTCAAAATTGATATAAAAATACATATATACATATTGATGTATAACATCACCTCATCTTATGTCCCTCATTATATCATAGGACTGTTTTATACATTTGCAGACCACATTTAAAGGTTTAAAGTTGACCATTCAAAATGGGAAAGTCATATTTCACAGGCAAAATTCGATTGTCATCATATGAATGTGGAACAGACGAGTTGGGTGGTGTTTTTTTTCCTTCTCAAAATAGAGTCACAACACAGAAAATAGTAGGAAGATTAACATCAAATAGTCACTAAAGTAATAAAATCCAGGATTGTTGTGGTTTTCCAGATTAGTATTGAACAACTAAGTGTGCGGTCCTATTCCCCCACTGAAAAGAAAGTGGATGTGGGATGCAGACTTAATTCAAGAGGTACCTCCTACATCAATTCTTGGCTTTGTAAAGTTTTCCAAAGTGCAGTCCATTGCAGTATTGCAAGAAATGTAATTCCCTTGAGATAATAAATCTAATAGTTATTTTGGTCCACACCTATAGTTTGGTCCCCATCCACAATAGTTACATTCCAAAAGGTGTTGGGCCTGAGTGGCATGAGAGAGCAGATCGTGATACACAATTCTTTCCCTGCTGTGATGCAGATGCGAAAGACATGTATATTCATTTGATAGCTTACAGAAAGAAGAGATGGGTATTGTAATATTGGCAGTGTGATCTATGCATATAGAAAGCAAGTTATGCACATTTTGGATTAACACAAGCACAGGATAAAGACAGTAACATGAAGAACAATGCAAGACTATCACTGCTAGCTTAGGGCCCTTCCACACAGCCCTATATCCCACATTATCTGAGTGTGGACTCAGATAACCCAGTTCAAAGCGGATATTGTGGGATTTTCTGCCTTGATATTCTGGTATATAGGGCTGTGTGGAAGGGCCCTTAGTGGCCTGTAAAATATCAATGTCGATTAAACAGGTGACAACCTAAAGCAGTGGTTCTCAACCTGGGGTCCCCAGATGTTTATGGCCTACAACTCCCAGAAATCCTAACAGCTGGTAAACTAGCTAGGATTTCTGGGAGTTGTAGGCCAAAAACATCTGGGGACCCAGGTTGAGAACCACTGACTTAAACCATGTGCAGGAAGGCATGAGAAACCACTTGATAAATACAAATGCGAGGAAGGTTTTTGTAAGTCCTTTCCAGCCACTGCAGTAGCACATTTGCAGTGAATGGGACTCGGTTTAGTAGGGATACTACCAGTGCTCGGTATACAGAAGACCTGGACATGGCTGTCTACCACTATAAATAACCCCGTGTGCAGAAATCAGATGTACAAATATGCATTTGAATCCCATAGATTTCAGTGGGAGATGATTAAACACCTCTCTAAATATCTTCCCCTAAAATTAGATAGACTTCCAGAACTTGAGGTTAGCAGGATCATGCTCGATATTTGTGCACAACAAACAGAGGTCTCTTCCATGAATCACACCAAAGCATCACTTGATAGGTTCATGCTAAGTTGTGATTGATTATTCACTATGTCAACATTGGCCCAGTCCAAACTATTGTTAGTCCTCTCAGGGGCCCTTTCTATCACATGCTATATTGATATGTTAGTCCTTTAACCACCATATTAGTAAATTATTGAGTCACAACTGCAATAATTGGTGAGTGAGTTTGTTACCTAAAGCATCATATTCTTCCAAGTGGTTACTCACCCTGGCCAACTGATCATATAAAGGAATAACTAGGAACCACAGATCTCACAGGAAATCCAGCAGACCTCCACACAGAGCCAGATTTTGGCAAGACTAAGTAAATGCAAGGCATTATATCTGTCACAGGATTTCAGTAAATTGTCTGCATCTTGTGTGTAGTGCTATGAAAAGCATGCCTCTGAGAATGAGCCAAGTTACTTTGTAGCAGTGGTTCCCAACCTGTATCCGTGGACCACCAATGGTCCGCAAGAACTATAATATGGTCTGCGACCTCATAGTTACTACACCATTGCAATGAGAGCGACTGGTCTCGTAAAACCCTCTTATAGTGCCGAGGCCTACTAAATACGGTTTTCTATGAGCAAACATATGGTGACTACTGGATGGCATATGTTCTGTGTCAGAAACTAGAGCTGATGTGGTCTATCCAATGCAGTTTTCTGAATCAGCACCCCAAATAACCAAGCCAAATCTAAAGTTGACCAAAAACTGATTCGTAACCCTACTATTAATGTTGGAGAGTGGTCAAAGTGGTCCTTGGTCAAAAAAAGGTTGAGAAAAAAAGGCTCTTCCTTTGTTCACAGTCTGGTTCTTGCTGATTATTTTCAAAGACTTTGGAATGAAATTACAGCCTATGGATGCAATGGGAATAAAACAGTTGGGAATAAGTCCCAGTCAGCCAGATGGAATTTCTGAGTAAACATGACCAGCACTGCACAAGAAAGCATAAACAATTTTGTCAAAGTTACACTATCATACATAATGCAGGTTAAGCAAAGACAGCTAACAAATTCTTGCTTGAAAATGGATAAAAGATTGAAAATAGTTCAAATGGTGCCAAGGACCATTCTCCATATTACAGTGAGATATTTTTGCCACATACAGGAGAGAGATGCAGGTAATGCTATGCTTTAATTGTGTATATAGTCCTCCCTGCTCCAAAGTGTAATGCATGGGGAGGCCTTTAGAATTGCTTTACTCCTGAGTCAATGCCCAATGCAGCCACTGAAAAGACCTCTTCCCTTTGAACAGTTAGAGGAACGTGACAAAGACCGCAGGATCCAGTTACATTTCTGTTGAAACTCAATGCTAAAACTAGAACTTTTGCATGTGAAAGCACACATACCCACCAAATAGCTACACCTACATAATTAGAAATCACAGGCTCAGAAAGAAGCGTTTTCAGAAAGACTATTTGGTGTATCAAATCAATTTGCCACATGTAAACCCAAAACAAACTTTCAGATGTGCAGTGTATTTCTTAAATGCTTCAAGCAGCCTTGCTATTGATTGATTAGCCACACGCATCTATTGTACAATAACTTGAAAAACCTGGTTGCAAATGGAAGTCTAAAAATAAACTTGAGATTTCGAAGAGTTCTGCTGAATCAAAGGAGGAATCACTAGCATATCAATCCATTGTATTCAGAAAGCCATTCTACTAAAGGGTAGTAAAACACATCTGGATTCCATAGAATCAGTTAGTTTTTCCTATTTCCTAATCTACTTTTAATTTACCAAAACCATTAAGAGTCAAATAGAAGAGTTCTGTTTTGCAAACCCTTAAATCTAAAACACTTTAGTTTGTTAGTAAAGTTTTTATGTACTGTGCTTTTAATGTATGACAAGGAGTAGTTATAAACTATACTTAGTGATACTGAGAACAGTAGTAACAGGTAACAGCTATTCCTCTATGGTTATGAAGAATCTCACTTCATTTCCTAAGCTATTGTATTAAGTTTTGTAATTTCCTCTTATTTCCCTTGTTTGCATTAGCTGTAAAAGGTAAAATATTGTATAGTACCAATCCCTTTGAGTTTCAAAAGTGGTTTCTTTTTTAACAGGTACTTCATCTCATGTGATAGTTCAACAGCAGCTTGTAATGAGACTGAAGGAAGCAAAAAACAAAGACGTCGTGAGTGGTCTTTTAAAAAAGGCATATTCCACAAAATATCCAGGTAAAAATGGCGTATTTACATAGTTTCGTTGGTGGTGTTTCTCCCTAGTGGAAGTAATGTCCATTGTGAATGCCCCTGAAATACAAACGGGATTGTCCGTGGCCTTTTCCTTTATCCACCTGTCTATTGAAACTGCAAACAATACTGAGATGCTACTGACACACTTCAAAACCAGTTTCCAAATGCTTGGTCTTGTTCCACGAACCAGCGAGACCTCTGTGTCCCTTGTGAGGCCACCTGGCATTTATTTTAAAGTGGTTTTCCTTAAGGAGTTAAAAGTCCATGAGTCGCTGAGCTTTCGTTTCCCACTTCACACAGCTCAAAGGATGTCCACTCCTTTCTTTAGGATTACAGGAAGCTGTCCTCAACCAATTCTGAGGAATCCATGCCAATGTCGTCAATAATGTCGATGTCGTCAATTGTTTCATCCTCTCGCTTGACAAAAGTAGAACTGCTGGATCCAGTTTCAATGGCACTTTCTTCAGATGTCTGGGAGCTGTAAAAGAAGACCACCAAGGAAATTAGAATGCTAAAAGCACACTCTGAAATATCCACTAGGATTTGGTTTCAGGTCCCTCTTTGATACCAAAATTAATGGGTGCTCATGTCATTGAATCATAGATTCCTAGAGTTGGAAGAAACCCCAGGACCATCCAGTCCAACCTCGTGCCATGTAGGAACAAATAATAATAATATTTTTTTTTTGTCGTGTCAGGAGTGACCTGAGAAACTGCAAGTCGCTTCTGGTGTGAGAGAATTGGCCGTCTGCAAGGACGTTGCCCAGGGGACGCCCGGATGATTTGATGTTTTATCATCCTTGTGGGAGGCTTCTCTCATGTCCCCGCATGAGGAGCTGGAGCTGATAGAGGGAGCTCATCCGCCTCTCCTCGGATTCGAACCTGCGACCTGTCGGTCTTCAATCCTGCTGGCACAGGGGTTTAACCCACTGCGCCACGGGGGCTCCTTGGGTTAATAATAATAATAATAATAATAATAATAATAATAATAATAATAATAATAGCAGCTAATGAGGCATGCCACATTATCACGGGGTGTCTGCGCCCTACACCACTGGAGAAATTACACTGCTTAGCCGGTATTGCACCACCTGACATCCGCCGGGAAGTAGCAGCCAATAGTGAAAGGACCAAGGCAGAGACATCTCCAGCTCATCCCCTGTTTGGGTATCAGCCAGCATGTCAACGACTTAAATCAAGAAATAGTTTTCTAAGATCTACAGAGACACTCGCTGGAACACCTCAGCAAGCGAGAGTCCAAAAGTGGCAGGCTCAAACCCAGAACCTCAATCCAATGGCTGATACCAAATGAGAGACTCCTCCCCTGGGCACACAGAAGACTGGGCGACTTGGAAGGCGCTGAACAGACTGCGCTCTGGCACCACGAGATGCAGAGCCAACCTCAAGAAATGGGGCCACAAAGTGGAATCCACTGCATGCGAGTGTGGAGAAGAGCAAACCACTGACCACCTGCTGCAATGCACCCTGAGCCCTGCCACATGCACCATGGAGGACCTTCTTGCGGCAACACCAGAGGCACTCCAAGGGGCCAGATACTGGTCAAAGGACATTTAACCAACTACCAAACTTGCAATTTTTTGTCTGTCTGTTTGTTTTGTTCTGTTACAAAATGTAATACAATTGACTGGTTGCCCTGACACGACAAATAAATAAATGAATAAATAAATAAGCAGCAGCAACAACAACAACAACAATAACAACAACAACAACAACAACAACAACAACAACAACAACAACAACTTTATTTTGTACCCCACCTCCAGCTCCCCGAAGGGACTTGGGACAGCTTACATATGACACATGGTGCCTGAAAACAACATATAAAATAAACACACAGTACAATACAAATAAATAAAACCAATAGCACATAAAAGAACAATTTAAAACTCAGAACAACGCCCAATAACCTATGGTGGCAACTACTGTAAGACATGGCCAAACTGTAAACAAGACAAGGGAATGCGATAGTGGAAATTGTAGCTAAGGAACAAGGGCATGGGATGAAAGTGCTCCCAACAGATGGTCATTCTGCTTCTGATTAAAAACCTCCAGAAGTCCCATTATATACAGTGGCACAATAAAATGGCATACCTTACATAAAATGCCAAACAATTCACAAAAGTACCAGAGAGAACCCAAGGATCTGTGAAATTGCAGGAGGATATATCAGGTTACACCAGGCATGGGCAAACTTGAGCCCTCCTGGTGTTTTGGACCACAACTCCCACAATTCCTAACAGCCCAAGTTTGCTCATGCCTGGGTTACACCTATACAGTTGAACATGGCAAAATCAAGCTTTGATTTTTTAAAGATGTTTTATCTAAATATTTTTGAACCGTGGATGCAGAACCCATGGTATGGGGAGTGGGAGTCAATTGTATTCAACCATAGAGTCAACAAAACTGATCTTAAGAATTCATCAAAAGATATATTTGGATAATGTATTGTCGAAGGCTTTCATGGCCGGAATCACTGGGTTGTTGTAGGTATTTTTGGGCTATATGGCCATGTTCTAGAGGCATTCTCTCCTGACATTTCGCCTGCATCTATGGCAAACATCCTCAGAGGTAGTGAGGTCTGTTGGAACTAGGAAAATGGGTTTATATATCTGTGGAATGACCAGGGTGGGGCAAAGAACTCTTGTCTGCTGGAGCTAGGTGTGAATATTTCCATCTCCCCTAAGGGACTCTGGGTGGCTTACAAAGGGACAAGCCCAGGGACCACCTTGATTAGCATTTGATGGCCTGGCAGTTGTTTGGTGTGGCTTGTTGGTGCCTGGGGCAATCTTTTGTTGAGAGGTTATTAGATGTCCCTGATTGTTTTCTCTCTGTTGTTTTTTTTGTTGTAATTTTAAAGTTTTTTTATATTTGCATAGTCTGTGCAAAAAGAGCTTACTGAATTGCTGATTTAGAGATCAGAAGTGGGCAGCTTATGGTTGTTTCCAAAATTGCAATTCCCGTTATGTGTAAAGGACCATGAGTTTCCCGCCCCTATTGCAGACTCTCTCACACACCCCTAAATCTACTTCCTAGCAAGCTAGCAATGAATCTCTTGCCATTTGCCAGAGAACTTGCAAATGGCATGGCCACTTCATGCAGGGCACAGCCCAGGACTAACAGGAATTAGAACACATTTCCCGTCTTAATATGAAATCAAGGAAACCATGGCATGAGCATAGCACGCACATATAAAAAAAATCCAGGAAGTGGCAAATCTTGAAGAGGCCCTCATCACTTGCTGAATATTATAGAAGTCAAGAAGACCAGTTGGTTCTATACACATTGTGTATATAAATATTTAAATAAATTGATCAGTCAATTTATTGTGTAAATGACAACAATGAACAGTTTCCAATATTTAGCATTAATCAAGAATTAGTGAATGAACTCCATTAGCATGCCTATTCCAGATCTGCTTTTTTGTGTCGGTTATGACATCAAAATTAAAATGGTAATGATGTTTTTTTCAGTGTTTACCTATGCCTGTTCCTTTTGCCAAGTTCATCTTCTGAGACAGGGTCAATATCCGGCAGAGGAATGATGTAGCCACTGTCAGCACTTAGTCTTTGTTCATCAAAGCCGCTCTCCCTGTCTTTCAGTTTGTCTTCATTTTTGTAAGTAACACCAATGTAGGTGTTGTCACAGTCTGCTCGCATGCGTGTCACAGCAGGATGGTCACTCTTCAGGAAGTCCAAGTGAATTCTTTCATAACTCTGAAAAAAAACATAGGTAAAGGTAAAGGTTTTCCCCTGACATTAAGTCCAGCTGTGTCTGTCTCTGGGGGTTGGTGCTCATCTCCATTTCTAAGCCAAAGAGCCAGTAGACACCTCCAAGGTCATGTGGCCAACATGACTGCATGTAGCGCCATTACCTTCCTGCCGGAGCAGTACCTATTGATCTACTCACATTTGCATGTTTTCAAACTGCTAGGTTGTCAGAAGCTGGGCTTACAGCGGACACTCACGCCGCTCCCCAGATTCAAACCTGCGGCCTTTTGGTCAACAAGTTTAGCAGCTCAGTGGTTTAACCCACGGTACCACCGAGGGCTCCAAGAAAACAAAATTGGTCATACACCATCCCATTGTGTTGTATCTCTGTTATTTATAAAACTTAAAAATATAAAGTATAAAGTTTGTTTGAGATGCAGAAAAATATGATTAATGACCTTATCACATGGGACTTTTACCCTGTCTTATAATACTTCCAGGATGAAACCAGGTCAGAGCCTGCCAGAGCTCATCATATGACGCAAGGCTACTTCGAGTGGGGCTCCATCCTGGAAGCATTGTAGGATGGCTCCCTGAGAACATAGGTGGCTACCCGTGTTCTCATTACCTAAAATGGGAACAAGAATGGGGGAAAGCTAGGCAACGACAATTTCACCCATGTGATGGGGAGCAAACTCTTCTGAGATTTTAAAAAGCTTAATTTCTTCAAACAAACCTTCTTGTATTCTCCAGGCAAAAGATTCTCAACTATTTCACTCAAGTGATAAAAAGAGGGTCTCTTCTCAGGCTCACTGTTCCAGCATTTTACCATGATGTCATACCTGTGAACAAATTGGAGGAAAATAACTTAATCATCTGGGAATTTCAAAGATGAACTAATAACACAATACAGGCTGAACAGATAGATCTAACTGCAAAAGATAGACGTGAATGATAAGTTCACCTTTGCCGTTCCAAAAACCAAATTCCACTGAACTGAACAGTGACTCATCTGTTCCAAATGGTTTAGATATGGCAACCACTCTTTTTAAGTCTCAGAAGAGCCAATGAGTTTCCTGTCCCAATTCAAGGTGCAGGTGATTATCTACAAAGCCCTAAATGGTTCAGGACTTGCCTATCTTCACCATCGCATCTTCCCCTACGAATTAACATGTGCCCTAAGATCATCCGGGGAGGCCCTTCTCTTACTTTCACCTCTGTCTCAAGCGCAGTTGGTGGGGATGAGGGAGAAGTATCTTCCTAGGGAGATTAGACTGGCACCTATCCTGTCCACCTTCCACAAGAACCTAAAAACATGAATGCTGTGCCTTTGATTAGGCTGTTCCAAAGAATTGACCTAATGTTACCTAAGTTCTAGCACTTTATCATGGCTCTCTGCTCTACAACCCTGACATTTTAATGCCCATGAACTATCCTCCCAGCCCTGCCTTCTGAATTTTGCACGTTCCCTTAGCTATATCTAAGAATTTGCACAAACCTAGAGCCTCTGAACTCAGCATTTTTATCATTCTGTATGGTACTGTTTTTATGATGCTATGCTTTATTCTGAAATGTTTTTATTTGGTTTTGTTTTGATGCTATCTTATCGTTTTATGTTTTTAACTTTGTGCTCCCTGGGCTTGTCCCTTTGTAAGCCACCCAGAGTCCCTTAGGGGAGATGGAGGTGGGGCATAAAATAAAGTTGTTGATACTGTTGTTGTTGTTGTTATTATTATTATTATTATTATATTAATTTGTTCATTTGTCCTCTTACCCTTTTAAAAAAAGCATTTTTTTCTTAAAATTAAACTATTTGTGTTGGGAAGTCAATCACATTATGCACAGCTGAGTTCTGTGTTCTTTTTTCTTCTCCCCCACCCCAAAACCTTCAGTCCTAGAGAAACTGAAATAAGATTCTTCAAATGGTATTGTTGTTGTTGTTGTTGTTGTTGTTGTTGTTGTTATATTATTATTGATATTTGAACCTTGCTCTTCTCAACCCCCTGGGGGAGACTCAGGGCAGCTTCCAACCGGCACGTATTTGATGCCTACAAATAAACACAATAAATACATACCAATCCCAATAATTATAAATAGTTAAAAACATTAAATTAATACAATAAAATCTACAAAAATAAACCAGCCTAGTGGCTATTGTCTAGCTGAATTCAATAGATTGGAAAGTCCATCAAGGTTGCCCATAATCCGTTTCCATAGCGATTGTCATCATTGTCATAGTCAAAGCCTGCATAGATTACCCAAAGGCCTGGTCCCACATCCACATTTTAAACTTCTTTCTAAAGGAGAGGAGGGATGAAGATGACCTAATTTCCCCAGCGAGTGCATTCAGGCCACCACCGAGATGGGATTGACTGAGTCCAAGTGTTCCAAATATATTATGTCCCATATTTCTTTGAAACAGTGACAATGTCATACAAGGAAGAGGCAAGGAGAATACATACACTTCACTGGTCGCATGGTCAGGTTTTGTCATTCGATATCCACTCTTGATTTTGTTATAGAATGTAGAATCAACCATCATGCCAGGATACGGGGTGCCACCTGAAAGCCAAGCAACAGAAAATGCTATCAAATATTCAAGAAGCCATAACAAAACTTTATTTTATACAGTGTGAAACTTGTCTTTTTAGACTGTCAATAGTTGATGTCAATGGAAATATATAATAATAATGATAACTTTATTATTATCCCCCGCCACCATCTCCCCGAAGGGACTTGGGGTAGCTTATTTATTTATTTTTTTAAAACATTTATATTCCGCTCTTCTCACCCCAAAGGGGATTCAGGGTGGAGCACAGCATATACACGGCAAACATTTAATGCCAGGACACAAATTCACATACAAAACATAAACATTAAAAAAAATATCAAAACATTAAAATACACAATTTAAAACCGTCCTAGTCATCCGTGTCAAACCTAATTGGTCTTGTCATTTTTCCTATTGCTGCTTTATTGCCCTGTCCCGAAAGCTTGGTCCCATAGCCAAGTTTTTACCATCCTTCTAAAGAACAGGAGGGAGGGGGCCAACCTGATCTCACCATAGCCGGGGAGCAATCACAGAGAAGGCCCTGTCTCTCGTCCCCACTAATCGTGCCTGTGACAATGGCAGGACAGAAAGCAGGGCCTCCCCGGAGGATCTTAATCTCCGCAATGGTTCATAGGGGGAGATGCGTTCAGACAGGTAATATGGGCTGGGGCTGTTTAGGGCCTGGACCATCGTGGCCAAGTCTTACATATGGGACAGAGTGTCCACAAGACATGAAAGCAAAACAAACCATTTAAACAAAAACATAGTAAAATATAAGAATCCAAATAAAACACAAATAAATCATACAAAAAAAAACCAACAGCATTGAAACTCCATCAAAACAATGTTCGACAAAGACCAATAACCAGAAATACTAAAAAGGCTGTGAAAAGGCTATAAGGGGTCAGGGCATGGGATAGTGCAAAAAATATTGTAGATCCAACATAATTGTTTATAAAACAAATCACTAGAACAATGGCCGTACACCTTGCCACAGGTTTCATACCTCAAGTTCCAAAAGGCTAGTTTCTTGTTTTCTTGGGGTTCTTTTTTAATTCTCATTCAGAATGATGTCTTGCTGGGGGAAAGAAGAGCCCTTGTCCTCTTCCTGACGCTATAATTTAAGCTAACTTATCTTAATAGGGGAATTAGTACAGTAAAGAAAGCTTGGAGACCGTAACACGCAAATCTTTTGCCATAAAACTATACCAATATCAAGATCTTACATAGGCAAGGTTTATGTCAGCATTCTTCAAGGAGATCTGCATTTTTAGTTTTGGAAAATTTGCTAAAGTAGCATTATTGATCAGAGCAAACAGCCTCCTTTTGAACTGCCTGCTTGCCTCTTCTTTAAATCAGTGCAGAGAGTTCAAATCTGATATCTAGAACATCAGGCGGAATAGTCTTAACAAACACTCTAAATCTCACGCTAGATGTGAATTCATTACAATAATAACATAAATTTAGGATTCCAGGGGAGAACAGGTAGGTGACTACCTTGCCTGCTCCCAGCACCCTTGGCCCCAGCCAAAATGACTACTTTGCAGGGATGATGGAAACTGGAGTCCAGTGACAACTGAAAGCCCATACAACTCCCCATCCCTGGCCAAGATTCCTATCTACTTAACCACATAGTTTCCTGTTAATTCAAGAATAGAAAACTTTCTTTTGACTCAATATGAGTCAAAAGAATTTGAGTACCTACCAAGAGAAAATATTTCCCAGAGCAGAATGCCATAAGACCAAACATCACTTAATGTTGTATATAGGTTGTCAAAAATGCTCTCAGGTGCCATCCACTTCACAGGAAGGAAGGTCTGAAAGAATTCCAAAAGATAGTAAGAACCGATTAAAATGCAATTAAAAAGCAGATTATCACCACCAAACTATTTAAAAGTAAAGATTGATAGGAGGAGGAGGAAACAAAAAATAGCCAGAGATATTAAATCTCCATCCACATCCAAAGACATCTGAAGATTTCAACAGCACACCACAGATCGGTATTATTTGCAGGACCAATGACACTCCATTTCTGGTTCAAGTAATTTGCCAACATGTATTTTGCACTAAGACTGTAGTGTGGTTGCAAGTATTGAGTATTATTTTGTCACATGGAAACAAATAGAAATGTAGTAATTGTTCCCCACTGAAAGACAGTCAAACATGATCTGCCCAAAAACTAATTCAGGAACATCTAGTTGATAAATGAATTTACAAAGACCTTAAAAAACCATACAGAGGCTTTGAAAAAAAAAAAAGCTTGGATAAAGAAGACAAGCTTACTTGTCTGAACGTATCTCCTTCTATGTCCCGCTTTGGACTTTAAGATCATCTGGGGAGTCCCTGCTCTCAGTCACCGCCTTTTTCACAAACGCGTTTAACAGGGACGGGAGATGGGGCCTTCTCTGTGGTGGCCCCCCGCCTCTGGAACACCCTCCCCAGCGAGGTTAGCTCAACTCCAGCCCTCCTCTCTTTCAGGAAAAAGCTTAAATCATGGTTTTGGGGCCAGACATTTGGGGAACAGGCTTGATAACAATTGCAATGTTTACGTGAACTGCCAATGGATAGGCTCTTGACAATGGGACGCTGAATTGGATTGGATTTGGCTAAATGGTTGTTAATAATGTTTTGTAAATGAATTTTAATTTAATAGTTTTATTTAATGTGTAATGTTGAAATATTTAGATGTATTCTGTATGTGTTGGTATTCAATTGTTGCTGTTGTAAGCTGCCCTGAGTTCCCCTTTGGGGTTGAGAAGGGTGGGGTACAAATGTTGGAAATAAATAAATCAAAATCAATGTATACAATCTAGTATATCAGAAAAAAATGTTCTTAGATTGTTAAGACCTGCAGCAATCGTCTTCACTGTTAATTGCAACCCGAGAGACATATATTAGCAGAAGCATCTCAAGCCAAGATAGGATAGCCTTACATAGCAAAATAAAACTTAACTATAACGTGTGAAGTGAGTGTTTTGTGCCAGTTGGAGAGGTTGGGAAGACAGTATTGAGAACTGATGTATTGATCAGAAAACTCTTGTTAAAATACATATGCATTGTTCAATGTTCCATTTATTTCATCCAAAATTTCTCAGTAAAAATGAATATACAATCATTGCACCAAAAGATGTGTGTTTGTATGCTACAAAATATCTATGCTATAACACAATGGTGCATGGGAAAATATCCTGAGCCATGGGATAGTTTACTCACAATTATGATAAGCCATGTATAAATATGTGAGAGGAAGCCACAGGGAGGAGGGAGCAAGCATGTTTTCTGCTTCCATGGAGACTAGGATGAGGAGCAATGGCTTCAAACTACAAGAAAGGAGATTCCATCTGAACATGAGGAAGAACTTCCTGACTGTGAGAGCCATTCAGCAGTGGAACTCTCTGCCCTGGAGTGTGATGGAGGCTCCTTCTTTGGAAGCTTTTAAACAGAGACTGGATGGCCATCTGTCGGGGGTGCTTTGAAGGCAATTTTCCTGCTTCTTGGCAGGGGGTTGGATTGGATGGCCCATGGGGTCTCTTCCAACTCTTTGATTCTATGATTCTATGGTTAACTAGTTAAAATTCTTGAGTAAACCAGGTTTCGGGGGGATTAGAACCCTTTTGGGGGTGTTAGAACCCTTAATCCCCACCCCGCCCCCTCTGGGTATGGCCCTTTCTGTGGAATAGATATGAGGTACACCAGTTTTGTTTCTTATTTCTCCACCATTTCACTTTGGAAGCTGACTTGCTTTCTTTTAACAAATTCTCCAAATGATGCCGATGGTGATGCCAAAAGAACACAGCTACCACTCCCTTTGGCCTTACAAAAGGAAAGATGCTTTGCCCCTGACTTTCCCTTTTCTGCCCCTTCTAGCACAGAAAAGCAAGAATACATACGCTGCCTTTGGAGACATAGTTTGAATCGTGCATGATATCTCTAGCCAGACCAAAGTCACAGATCTTCACAATTTTTCCTTGAGCCAGGAGGACATTCCTTGCCGCCAAATCGCGGTGCACACACTGCAGAACAAATTGATTACATTAATAGGAGTTACAATAATGAAATGCTTCTAATGTTCATGGCATTTAACAGTATAATAAACAAACAAGAATGATCCTTATTATAATGGGTTTGCAGTCATAATTTGAAAATGGAAAAATCATCCAAAAAAGGGGGCAGAGGACATTTCAAGATGTTTAGACTCAAACAATGATATTTTATTCACATACAGGACTACAGCAGCGAGGATCTCCTACACGAAACTTTGGAAATTGGAGGAGATACCGGACATTGATAATTGGATAAGCAAATTAAGAGAGATTAAAGACATGGAAAAACTAATGTATTTTTTTAAAAAGACCTCAGATTGCCCAATAAAATGGACGGACCAACTTTTGAAGAATATGAAAAAGATAAAAATTAAGGAGAGATAAAAATTAAGCAGATAATTTGGAAAAATAAGTGACTTTTATATTCATCCTCTATTTTGTTTTAATTTTTATCCTTATTTCTTTATAAACAGAAAGCAATGTATATTTGCAATCACTTAGAATGGAAGTTCAAAGAGACTTCTTTTTTTTTCTTTTGTTATAGTTGTTGTTGTTGAGCTCTATATATCTTCATTTCCCACTTTTCTTTCTCATATTGTTCCACCTCTTTTTATGTATATAAAATCTTTCTAGATGTTTTCAATAAAAAAATATTTTTTAAAAAAGATGTTTTCAGTATGAAATATTCACTCCAGCTGGGGATACATTTCATCTTGAAGATATGCTTCTGAGAAAACACATAGCTTTCTAGAACTCACTCCAAAACAGAGATAAAGACAGGGAAAGATCTACAGATCCCATCAGTACATTTTCCATAGAATGTGGCCATTGACCTGTGGGATCCCACAAGGTTCTATTCTTTCCCCCCATGCTTTTCAACATCTACAAGGAGCTTCTGGGTGAGGTCATCTGAAGTTTTGGATCTGGGTGCCATTTCTACACAGATGACACACAACTCTACTACTCTTTTCCACCACAATCCAAGGAAGCTTCCCAGATCCTGGTCAGCTATAATGGATTGAATGAGGACCAACAAGCTGAGGCTTAATCCAGACAAGACAGAGTTCCTCATGATCAGTCGTGAGGCCAATCGGGGTATAGGGTAGCAACTTGTGCTCAAAGGGTTACATTTCCCCTGAGGACACAGATTTGCAATCTAGGGGTTCTTCTGGATTCATCACTAATGCTAGAAGCTCAGGTATCGGTGGTGGCTGGGAGGGCCTTCGCACAGTTAAAACTTGTGCACCAGCTGTGACCGTACCTCAAAATGCCAGACTTGGCCACGATGGTCCATGCCTTAGCTACATCTAGACTGGACTACTGTATTGCACTCTATGTGGGACTGCCCTTGAAGACTACCCAGAAACGGCAATTAGTGCAAAGATCGATGGCTTTTCAGAACTGTATTTGCAAAGATATAACCCAATGTAACTGCATTAGTGGAGACTTTCACTTCTCTCATGTAAAATTGGACATTATTATTTGTCCATGAAATAAGCAGATATAAAAAAGCATGTTATAATAACTTGTACATTCGATACATTAAGGCTGTTGGAGAGGGACTCTGAAATGTTGACCGTTCCAGCCTTGGGTTGTTCAACCAATCAACCAACCACTTTATTTATATGCTGCCTTTTTCAAAGAATGTGACTCAATGCAGCTTTCCAAATACATGGAATACAGCTAAACCACATTATGATCTTTTTAAAAGAACACCTGCTTTCCAGATGTGTTGTGGTGTCCTTGGTGCAAGTGGTAAATTCAGAGAGTAGTGATTTGGAGGGCACCAGTTTGAAGAGACAGCTGTAATGTATTTTTCCTATTTATAAGTGACATTGTATATTATTTAATTGCACTTGGTTTTATTGTTTCTAGGGACTGGCTGTTTGCTTTATATTTCATTCTGATTGGCATGGATACCCATTTGTAAATGCGCAGACTGCAAAACCAATGAAAGAAATTGATTGAAGAAATAAATAATTGTTTTCATGTTGTGTGTTTGACTACTAGTACGGCGCTTTCTGGCTCTTTCTATTACCACAGATGTTTAAGTTCCACAAATAAACATAGTTCAAAATCAGGCAATGGCTTCATTAAGCTGTAGTCTGCTCTCCACTTAACTTGGAAGCAAATCACTCTGAACTCAACTGGACCAAGCTATTAGTAGACAAGTTAGATACTTACATTTTTTGATGCTAAAAATTCCATTCCCCGGGCAACTTGGTAGGTAAAGCTCAATAGATCCAACAAACTGAGGCCTTCTGAATTATCATCTGAAAGAAGATTCAGAACATCTTGTTCTGTTGAGAGAAGGGGAAATAAAATAAAATAGTTGTCATATGAAAATACTCCATCAGTTTGTTCCAGTCTTTTAAACAGGTGCACTTATCAACATCTGGGGGGTTTGGAGCCATAAGTATTGAGAAGGTGAGCCAGTCAAATGGTCTGACTTAATTGCCAAGGCCACTTCCCTTGAGGAAGGGTTCATTTCAAAGCACATTCAGACTGAATGGATACTGTCTCTGCCTATACAGCTGGTGTTGTTGTTTTCCTACAGCAGCTCAAAGGTCATTCATTCTGCTCTGCTTTCCATGGCGCTGGGTTTGCAGTTATACAGCATGTCCCTCCAAAACATTTCTGCAAAACAAGCAATCCCTTTGTGCATTTGCATCAATCTGTGTCTTTTTAAACAAATCCATATACTAAATATAGCTTTGATTTTTCCTTTGATTATATACTTTTTCTGAGAAATTGTAGGATTAAAGAAGTACCACCTACACATTATGCAGCTTGCTTGTACTTATTCCACTTGTGGTTTAAACCCAAAGCAATCATTTGGAGATGGCATAGTCTCATCCCACTTTTTTATTCATTTCTGTCCCTTTTAGCTTGGCTGAACACAGTCATGTTCTTTAGTAACTATTCATTGGAAGGTCATCTTGTGCCATCAAAGAACCAGCGATTCCATGGCAGCAGCTCTTATTTTGTTCTGGAAACTGGCAACAGGAGAGACACTAAAACCTAGTTATTTGATTACCCCTTTGGCTCAGTGAAACCCTACCATGTTCTAGTCTTTGCCAAAGAAGTCTGGACCTAGAAAAAAGTCTGGTTCTGAGACCAATGAACTATGGTGGCCAAACCTGTTTTGGAAGACATGGCTTGAGTTTCTCTGTAAAGGGACAAGGAAAGGGCTGAGTTAGCCATGTCGCCTGACACTAACCCTCAATTTAGTGCTCTACAAATCACTTGGGAAGGTTGTTTTTGGGGGCTGATAACTGCTAGGAATGAATCTTAAGTGGAGAAGGCATCCCACAGTCAAATGGCTACAGTCCTACTAAATCTATAAAGGTAAGAAAACTGCTTGTGCCACGTTGGACAGCGGCTCTAACTAGGTCAAGTAGTGACTGGTATCATACAATTGACAAAGTTCGCTCTCCCCAAAAATTCTGTCATTATCAAGTGCTGTGTGGGAGAGAAGGAGGAAGGAAATAGATTCTTTCACTAATATGAAACTAATATAAACACCTGTATCATTTCAATCTATATAAATATATATTTTCAGCAAATATACAAGAAAAAAATCTGTATTTATTGCACATTGACATACAAAAATGTATTCTACTTAAACCTAGTAATAATACCTCAACCATTTTTATTTTTAATTTAACAGATTTTTTTTTATTTAACAGATTTTAAATTAACAGATTATTATTATTATTATTTTATTATTAAACTTTATTTGTACCCCGCTAGCATCTCCCGAAGGACTCGATGCGGCTTACAAAGGCCAAGGCCTCAATACACAACATAACAATACACTTAAAGCAAATTAAAAACAATTAAGGCAGTATTAACAACAAAACAACAAGCAATAAACAATACATCAACAAGATAAAACTGGGCCGGGCCAGAGTAAAGGGTACAGGATTAAAAAGTGCTGATGTGACAGGTAATATGTAAGGATTATAGGGCAAGTGAGGCGTGTACTTGCCGAAGTCTGGGTTTTGCTGCTATCATAATGCTTATATTGGCCCTGTTTTTATTTTGCCTTCATCTATATTTAAAATTTGAAATATTTTGACATCTGTAGCACTCAATGAAAACCACTTCCCAATCATTATTAAGTATAATAATTAAGTATTAAGTATATCTGTGATGCTGTTGCAACAGTTTATCTCTCTGAAGTTTGTTAATAATATCAACATTTCTCAACGTGCAAAATTGTGCAGGTTTTTCCAGTTCTCATTCCATTTCTCTCATTCCAGTTCCCATTCCATTTAATCAGGGAAGTCCCTTTCTCATTCCATTTAATCAGTTGTCAAAAAATATTGTGTTGTAGTTTTAAACAATTTAGGAATATCTAGTGCCTGCACTGAAGTAGCTGTGGCTTAGATGGTTGAATTTCTTGTAGTTGCTGTGTGCCAATTGTTAGGCCGGAGAGAGGAAAACTAAGATAATCGTGAATTTTAGCATAAAATAAATTGCTCTCGATCCTGCGTTCGTCGCAGGGACGAGAGACAGGGCCTTCTCAGTGGTGGCTCCTCAGCTATGGAACTCCCTCCCTAGGGATATTAGATCGGCCCCCTCCCTAGTGAAATTCCAAAAAAAATATTAAAAACCTGGCTTTTTGAACAAGCTTTTGGCAACACAGTGTAATGGATGAATATGGAACTAAAAAAAAGAATGACTATGGAACGGCTTGTCAATGTCTTCGAAAAATCAGCTAATAGGAAGTTATTTGTGTTTATATGTTTTTAATGCTTTTAACATGGTTTTTATAATATGTGTTAAATGTTTTAATTTTGTTTTTATGATCGTTGTGGCATCGAATTGTGCCAGTGTAAGCCGCCTCAAGTCACTTTAGGGCCAAAGGGGTTGGCATAGAAATGCAGTAAGGAAGTAAATAAATAAATAAATAAATAAGATATATTCTATGTGTGTTGAAGTACAAAATGAGGCTGATGGGTTCATTGATGATTTAGAGAGGTTTGTGAGATTTCCTGTGGGAATTTCTGGGGCACAAAGTGATGAAGATTCAAGTTAGGGAAATGATTGTTCTCTCTGGGAGAAACCTGACTCAGAAAGTGCAGGGCTTCAAGATCAGTCAGAGAAGCCAGAAACTGCAACATTAGATAAGGAGTTGGATGAAGAGCTAAGTGATACAGAAGGCTCCTAGGGAAAAACACCTGGAGCTCCGGAGATCAACAAAAGTATTTGTTTATAGATCAGAGAAGAAAATAGGTAGTGCCAGTCAGAGCGATTACGTAGGAAAATTGTAGCGAAAATTCATGGGAAAAGAAATGACTTCATGGGTGTCTATTAATTAGCAAGTTGTTTACCTAAGGCATGGGTCCATAAACTTTTTGAACAGAGGGCCAGGTCACAGTCCCTCAAACTGTTGGAGGGCAGGATTATAATTTGAAAAAAAATGAATGAATTCCTTTGCATACTTTACATATTTTATTTGTAGTGCAAAAAAACTTTAAAACAATACAATAATTAAAATGAAGAACAATTTTAACAGATATAAACTTATTAGTATTTTAATGGGAAGTGTGGACCTGCTTTTGGCTGATAAGATAGGATTGTTGTGGTGGTGGTGGTGTGCTTTCAAGTCATTTCAGACTTAGGTTGACCCTGAGCGAGGGTCGGGTAAATGATCTCCGAGGGCCATATCTGGCCCCCGGGCCTTAGTTTGAGGACCTCTGACTTAAGGGTTAGTTCAGGCAACATAGAATTCAAGTGAAAAGCTAGGTCTGAGCTCAAGTTTTTCTAAATATACTTTTTGTTGTGGGCTTATGTTGTGATTTTTGGCTATTCCTGGACTGTGTGTTACCTTTGGATTTGCATGGACATTTGGATTACTGTTTGGTTATCAGCTATTGCTAAACCTTTTTTGGATTATACATCGGTTTTTTTGTTGGGGTGCAACAATGTGATGGAGAAGATAATTGATAATCAGATCTTCTACCACACTATCTAAGTTCAAAGGCCACAGGAGACGGATGAGCTAGACTGGGACCAGGGTAGTTGACACTTCATTACTTATATTACTTTTCACGCAAGGTTTTATGGATTTTAATGAAGGAATGGATAGTGATTTCAACCCAGAAAACAGTAGAGGTGAGAGCTACATTTTAAAAAGAGATATCAGGAAATTTCTCTCAAGAATTCTAGAAGTTTGATTCCTGCTGAAACATATTCAAAATGAGTTGGGATTCATGCACATGGACTTACCAGACAGATATTTTTTCTTATATGAAGCAGGTCTATCATACAGAGATCTTTGGATGTCAGAATATTTTGACCTGTCTCTCCTTTCTAGCATCGGCACATACTGTGTGGTCTCTGCTTGCTTCATATCCATATATTCACCGTTGTTTTCAAATGACAGGATGACATAGCTGGAATAAAACCACAATAATATTATTCGGAAATTGGTGCAGAGTGAAATATATGACACTCTCATGTCATTCTCATCTATATTTGTTGATCATAGAATTGAGTATAAGAGTGTATAGGTGCAATTTCACAATTTTTGAGCAAGCAGCTATAGTCACAGTAGAGGCCGTTTAAAAAGCTGTAAACTGTAAGATGGGGACATTTCCAATATTTTTTATTTAAAAAAGTAAAATTTTAAAAATGAGAAATCAATGCACAGTAAAGGAATAGAAGATTCTGTGGTCCAAAAAGGGGGAAATGTATATTCTCCTGTATGGCAGTGACAGCTCCCATTAATAACCGGCCATTCTATATTTTCAGCTGCTTTTAAAATATTCCAGTTTCTCTCTCCTCTACCTATTTTGTCGTCAACTTACTTGCATTGCTGCAAACGGAGTTCAAAGTACAAGAGTATTTTACACTTAGTTAGCTCAACAGGTGGGAAAGAGGGGTCAGAATCTTGGCCTTTCCAAAAGACTTGGTCAAAAGAAAACTGCTATCGTTTCTTATAGTCTTTGTTTTCTTACTATTATGTGCCACACTAATAACTTCTGCTAGCTTGGCCACATATGTCCCAGTTTTCATCTATAAAATGCTTAAAGGGACGAAAATGTGGCAAGCCAATCCACTAGTACAATGCTGCATTTTCAAAACAATAATTGAACTACAGGACACATGATGATGGCAGCCTTCCATGACTTTTTATTGACAAAAGGTCACACATGTTCCGTTGGAGTTGACCCTCGGTGGTCTTTCTGAATAAGCACCTCCACCTACAAGGCAACCCTGCAATAACACAGGTCCAAAATGCTACAACGTTGTGGCTGTTATCTGTAGGATCTGGCCCATTCATCCAATAGAAAATACATGTTACTTCACGTGTAGTTCTACAGACTTATTTCCATTTCAATAAGAGTACATCGAAGTTTTAAATATATTAGAAGTAAATTCTACCTCCTAGTGCTTTCATCAGCTGAGTTCATCCCAAAGATGTCCAAATCTTTCTTGGTCTTTTCAGGGTTTCGGTTCAGAAAGTTGTCCCTGTTTTTATGCAGATAGTTCACCAAGTCTCCATAAAAGCAATATTCTGTTATGATGTAAATTGGACCTAGTGGTATTAAGGGAGGAAAAGGTGAGATAATACTTAGGTTTTTACTCCACTTGTGTATGAACACCTATGAATGGGTTGAACAAAAAGTAGATCTAAATATATTAAAATACCTACTACTTAGATCTCAGTAACATTGCTTTGTTGAACCAACTCCCAGAGGCCAGGCAATCTGGGGATTATTTTAGTATATTGCCAAATAACTAAATAAAACCTTTGCCTGATGTTGGATATCTGAGTGATTTTTGATAAATCAGCAAGGATTAATTTCTGATAATTTAACACTAACAATGATAAATGTGTTTCTCATTCTCGATCTTTATTTAAATTTAAAAACAAAATAGGAAGACAGAGGCCAGCAGAAGATTTTTGTGTGAAAGGTCTAAGAGCACAGTTGCTGTGATGACAACTAATTTCTGGACTTTTTTGTCGTGTCAGGAGCAACTTGAGAAACTGCATGTCGCTTCTGGTGTGAGAGAATTGGCCGTCTACAAGGACGTTGCCCAGGGGATGCCCAGATGTTTTGATGTATTATCATCTTTGTTGGAGGCTTCTCTCATGTCCCTGCATGAGGAGCTGAAGCTGATAGAGGGAGCTCATCTGCACTCTCCCCGGATTCGAACCTGTGACCTGTCGGTCTTCAGTCCTACCGGCACAAGGGTTTGACCCACTATGTCACTAGGGGCTCCTCATTTCTGGACTCAATAATGTTCTCAAAAGTACTCTTTAACTTTCTGTATTTCTAAATGCCTGTTTATCCCATGAAGTTACAATGCAAATGCAGGCACCAGCTGATGAGTTTTAGTGTAGAATTTCTAGAAAAACAATGATTTATTTATAAAGCAAATCATATCTCACAATCCTGGACTGGAGTAAGGTTCAAAGACAACTTGTCCCGTCTTCTCAGATTAAAGACAGCCATAGAAATTCTCAAAATGAGTGACCTTGAGTTCTGTGGTTCGGAACTATAATCCAGGTATTCTATAGCAATAGTGAAGAACCTCCTCTAGCAATAGTGAGGAACAAAGCTACTCTTTGACAAAGTAAATTATAGTTGAAGTAAGTAGGACATTGTTGAATCCTTCATTCCCTGTTTTCTAATGGCTCAACAAACCTACCTGATTTTGTACATGCTCCTAACAGGTTGACTATGTTCAAGTGGGGTCCAAGATGGGTCATTATCTTTAATTCAGACATGAGAGCCTGCTTTTCACTGGTTCGTGCAGTGGCTGTAGGGAAAATAAGTGGGATAGCTAATTAGAATTATATAGGTGGTTCAACAATAATCATAATCTTGAATAAAAATGGGGATTTTGTTGTGATCACATTGACATATATGCCTTTTCCTTCCTTTGGCTAATGTGCTGGAGAGAAAGCTTTTTAAGTAAGCAAAACGTCTGGGAAAAAGATCTTTATAATAGCTATTTTCTCAAAAAGGAGACATGTCTGGTATAACAAACAATGGTGCATTTATATGGCGAGGACGCATTTTAGATTCTAAATGGGTCAAATGTCTGGATGAAATTTTGTTAACTTCAGGCTAATGTTTAATTAAACAACTAGGGATTGAGATACCTTGGCTTCGTTGGCATCCTATTCCATGCATTTATTGACAATTTAAAACAGTTATTAATTTTCTCAGTTCTGCTATTAAATGATATATTTCCCATTTCTTTCTTTGTGGATGAGAAGGACAAAACCATAACATAACACCAAAATTTAATTTAATTTCCATTTCTGCTGAAACTTCTACCAATTCTTCATTTCTCTATTCACCTGCACACATCGACAAATAGAATTCATTGACAGAATATGTGGCCACAGGATAACAATAAAGGACATTGATTTCTGGATTCAAAATGGAAATCATGAGAAGATCTTTCACTCCGTATCATTATTTTCAGAATTAAGCTGTCTGTGAGAAGGTGCCGTTCTCACTGGTCAGGATCAATTAGGATGGCTTCATGATGGAATTGTTCCTGTCAGTCAAACTGGAAGGAAAACAATATACTCTTTCCCATCTACTAGATCCTCATGGAAACCTCCAAAACTATTTCTGTAGGGTTGGGAAACTTCTCCAAAATGATTTGGGACAGCATGGAGAGCTATGAGGATGAAAAGGGAAGGTTTGACACTAGTAGTGTGGTTATAGAGAAGGAGTGGCAATTGCATGTCTTTCAGCTTGCCATGCTGCACTTTTCAGGGATCCCATGAGATCTGCAGGCCTCTTTGAACTTCCAAATCAAAGTGATTGGTCCCAAGTCCACATTTTTCAATGTCCCGCTGATTCACCATGGGTGGTGGCAAATCACCCTGTGGGACCTCATCCATGTGATGAGGTCCATAGACCATTTGGTCCACCTTCCATAACCATTTTGCATATTTTAACATGATTGTTGACCACCTGTTGAACCTCTAAACAATACCAATTCACCCTTCCTTAATGGGATCATTTAATTATTTTGTTTTACTGAGGAATGTTAAGCCCCCAAAATGAGATAATTATGAATTTCAGACAGGATTCTGTATCTCCAGACTAATGTGTGAATTGGAACAGGATAATCTTTTGTATTTCTTACTTCTCTGAATATAAACAACGTGGTTCCCAGCTCAAAAAATATACCAGAATCCATTTTAAATGTATTGAATTGTTTCATTTTATTTAATACATTTATGTATCACTTCTCAGCCCACCAGAGGCCCCAACAATATACAACGCATAAGAAAAAAAATAAGACATTCAAAATAGATAAAACAGAAAACAAGTATTTTAAAACAGACCAGATAACAATTTTAACAAATGATTTTAAAACTATACAGAATTAAAATAGTCAGAGCAGCAGCTCCTGGTTAAAAGGACCAAAGGACATAGAAAACAATACAGTCTTAGCTCCCCACTGAAAGCTCAAGAAAGATGGCGGTATCCTGACATTCCTTAGGAGAGCTTTACATTTGCGATCCCACTGCAGAAAGCATCCTGTCACACAGATTCCCCTCTAGTAGTATTGAGACATGAAATAATGTCTCTGCTAGGCATGCTCATATATGATGTTTAAAATGAGTATTTTAGGGTAAAATACAATTATATCTGAGTACATTTGTGAAATAGTATTTGTGAAGGTATTTTTGGTAAGAAAAGCTTTTGAAATTCTGTGTACTGATATATGGTTTTTAATGTGGATTAAGAAGATGTACATTAATGTGGAAATTGAATGGAAGAGAATAATGTATAGATAATATATATAAACTGACATGGGCCACGAACCAGACATTGCTTTTTACAAGAGCCAGAAACTGGGAAACTCTTTTGGCACCCAAGAGAAGTCTACTGTGACCTGTTCCCCAACACCAACATAAACACTTCCTCCTCTTCCAGTTCTATTTTTGCACCTTGTAGCAGTAACATTTTTCATTAGATTAAAAAGCAAAATGTTTAGAAATTGAGAATCGAAAAGAAGGTAGGGATTTCAGTCCAGAACTGAGAATAGAAAATATATGGATTTCATAGATGTATCAATGAAAACAATTGATTACACTATGTAACACAATGTTTGTTCCTGGGTTGTAAATATCATTCCCTAATTGGTTCTATCATGAAACATGGGGAAAGTTTATTAAATGGCAAGAACTTTGTGTTTGCGGGACATCCTGCAACACATTTTGCTATAGTTTTTCAATGAATATCTCATAGAGTCTCAACCAATTCAACATAGTTTGTGGAAGCCACAAAAATAAAGTTTCTGGAGTATAACAACTACTTTCAAAGTAGGTACCACACAATTAAATGGGAAATAACACTTTCAAACCAGAAACAGATTTTTCCCCCCAAATTTTGTTTCATAGTCTTATAGCGTGGTTTCAGATGCCTACATATGCCAAACACAAATGATTCATCATGTTTAAGTATCAGTGTACTGTTCTCTTCTCAGACATTGGAGATATCCAGTAACTAAATGAGTAATAACTACATATAACCAGAGGTATTATCCCGAAAGCACCTTGATATTTCAGGCAGAGTAGAGAGTGGATCAGTATAAAATGTTTAGCTATTTCTTTCATCCCTGATGAGAAATATTGCTTTGGCATCTCAACTGTAGTGAGATTTTCCACCTTTCTATGTGAAAGCAAAATGGATGACGGGTGGATTTTTATAGGTGGGAGGGATGTGTATCAAAATCCCAACATTTCACAGAAGAAGATTATCTGAACAAAATGACTCTCCTTTTCTCTTTATTACATAAAGTAGACACACATCCACACAGGAAACACAGAAGGATAGGACTGTTGATTAAAAATATGTGACCAACCCATTCAGTGCTTCCACTTTTAAAAAACATATCCATGCAACAAGACATTAGCTGTAGATGCTTACACACATACAAAAATTATCCTAACTTATGTGAAAATTATTTCAAACAAAAAGGTGAAGAATTACATTCCCGTGGAACACTTTCTAAAGGCCACCCTAGTTGTTTGAGGGGGGAACAATCCTGCTTTGCTTATAAGAATTGAGCTTTTGTCTTCTTCTGAAGGTTCCCTGGAAATAGCACTAATTGCTTGCTTAATCTGCAAAATGTATTTTTGATGAACACAAGCAGGAAGGATTACGTTCATTTCAGCCTGAGAGACATGGTGAAGTCAAAGATCTCTTTTACACTAAGGGAAAAACTTGGACAAATATATGTTTTCACTTTCTTCAGTGGTTAATTCTGTCATCTCACTGAACTGATGAAAGACAGGAACAAACTAAGGAGGAAGAGGAGCCAGGGAGAGAATAATACAAAAGAGGAGGAGGAGGAGGAGGAGGAGGAGGAGGAGGAGGAGGAGGAGGAGGAGGAGGAGGAGGAGGAGGAGGAGGAGGAGGAGGAGGAGGAGAAGGACTAGTCATGGGGCCCCTGTCTCTCTAGAAATAATGGAAGCAACTCACTGATAAATGCCAAATAATGCTTAGCGAAAGAGAGATAGGGTGACTGATCTGTCCATTCTTATTTGTCATAGTACCCAGTTATATGGTTTCAATTATCTGCCTCTGACAAAATACACCTTCTAGTGATTTTTTGTGTCAATTCTATGGTGTGCATCTGCCAGAGGTTGACTACTGAGACTCACTGGACAACCTAATAATGGCTAGAGAGGTATCCTCTCTAGCGATTTCCAAAAGTCCTCCAGCACAACTCAATATGATTTGATATTACCCACAATTTCACACATCAGTGTGAAGCCCTGGAGCGTGCTTCCCACTTTCTATTGAAACTTATTGAATCCACTACAAAACAAAGGTGCTCACAACAGAAATAACAGGTTTGCTTTTAAACAATGAGTATACTGATCAAAGTGTTAACAGAGTATAGAGAATATATGGAGACATTTAAGACATGAACCCTGTTTCTTGTGACAGCATGTTCATTTTACATCTTGACTGAATCAAAAATAAAAGAGCAAACACCTTATGCCGTGACAAATATATCACACCAATTAATTTGCTTTCAAGTCATTCTAATATTTGGCATAAATGAGAGTGATGACGTGGATTATCTGTAACCCGAGAAACACTTACGCTTCAGCATTTTCACAGCCACCTTCATGACAGGCTGTGACCGACTTAATCCATATGCAGTTCCTTCAACTACTTTTCCAAAAGCGCCGGAGCCAAGAATGCGGCCTGCAGACAACAGAGAGTGTTTTTAATTGACAAAATAATCTCGTATCTTATCTCACTGCTTCTAGTACTCCTTATGTCATGTGCTTAGTATGCATTTGAGCGTGAACTGAATGAGTTCATTTGTTCTTCTTATCAAAATGAAACATCCCCTTGCAAGCTAATTTCTCCCACGAAGTAATGAGGGATTCCTTATGGGAAATCTGGGCATGTTTCTCGGCTCCCTTCCATCATTTGATTGTGGATTGCAAAATATAGAGAGCAATCCAATTCAAGGCATTCCCTCTGATGCTAAAGGGAACAATGACAAAGAATCTGCTGCAGGTCAAATTTATCTCAATAACATTGCATTAAAAATGGGCTGCCATTTTTTTTGTGTTTACAGCATGCAGCAACTCCTCTGTAGCAAGCCCAGATTCTGTGACAGCTGACTACTAGGCCTGTTTGATCAAGAAAAAATTTGTTTCTAAAATCGATTTGTAATTGGGGTGTTTTTTTGTTTCGATATTTAAAATAATTACAAAACTTTCCCCCAAAAAAGTTTTGGTATTTACGAAATTTTGTAAATATTAACGAATTTTTAGAATATTTTTTGTATTTTTTAAGAATAATATTAAAATAATATTAAAAAATATTTTAAAATGGAAAATTAACCAAAAAATGGCCCAAATGTGGACCAAACACAGGCAGGAGACAGCAAATGGGAGCACACACCAACAGAAGAGTCTTTTCTTTTTTAGAATATTTTTTAAGAATAATATTAAAATAATATTAAAAAAATAATATTAAAATAATATTAAAAAATATTTTAAAATGGAAAATTAACCAAAAAATGGCCCAAATGTGGACCAAACACAGTCAGGAGACAGCAAATGAGAGCACACACCAACAGAAGAGTCTTTTCTTTTTTAGAATATTTTTTAAGAATAATATTAAAATAATATTAAAAATAATATTAAAATAATATTAAAAATATTTTAAAATGGAAAATTAACCAAAAAATGGCCCAAATGTGGACCAAACACAGGCAGGACACAGCAAATGAAGCAAGCAGCACTCACAGCAGCAAGGAATGAATCCAATCCAGTTGCTAGCAGCCAAGCCAACCCAATGCAAACTCCCTCGCCCTCTGCAGCAATGAGCTACGGCCGCGCGGAGCCGCTTTGAAAGGGCTCGCCGGCCAATCAAAAACAAACAGCCACGGACCCACGGTGCACTGCTTGGGAGCGCCGGATTGGCTCCCAGGCACCAGCACTCCAGCAGCCTCCACCCCATTAACGAAACGAGCGGAAGCTCGTTAAATCTATGGGGGTTGCTGGTTCGATATTTTAAAACCCTTCCGGGTTTGGAAATGTGTTTTGATATCGCTTCGGAAATGCCAAAAATAACGAATTAATAACGAATTAACGAATTAACGAACGAAACCGCACAGGCCTACTGACTACTACAGACATCTACATCAATTTGATATCATTTCACCGTTTAGATCAGGGGTCCCCAAACTAAGATCCACGAGCCGGATCCATGAGCTGGATGCGCTCCTCCAAGGTCATTTTCCTACCACCCACCCTAAACTTTAGACTTAGTGTTGCCCTAAGTCTGAAACAACTTGAAGGCACACAACAACAACAACAATTCAAATTAATGTAACTATCTCATCAGCCAAAAGCAAGCCCACACTTCCCATTGAAATATTGGTAAGTATATGTTGGTTAAAATTGTTCTTCATTTTGAATATTGTATTTTTTTCATGATTTTTTCTTTTGCACTAGAAAAAAGATATGTGCCGTATGCATAGGAATTTGTTCATGTTTCTTTCAAATGAGTCTGCTCCCTCCCTCCCCAAACAGTCTGAGTGATTGTGAACTGACCCTCTGCTTAAAAAATCGAGGACCCCTGGTTTAAATGCTCCATGTGTGTGTGGTTTGTGTGCTAGGAGTCAGTTTCATGGAGGAAACTCTGTCTCTATCCCATCATCATGTCTGTGTTCACTTTTGTTATGAGAATGGCTGCAACTTACGCTAAGTGAGAAATTCCAGCTTAGGTCTAGAAAGAGCCCTGTCTTTTTAGCAAAAACTGGCAGAATAACGATATTACTAATTCTTGTCTACTAAAATTATGATATGCTGATCCAGGCCCGTAGCCGGGGGGCTTGAGGGGCTTCACACACACACACCCCACCCCCGAGATTCTCAGGGTGGTCCACGAGAAGGTCTTACAGGTACATTATTTAAACTGTTATGTTTATTCATATCATGATCTCATCACCATGCTCAATATATCCCATATGCATGGGGATATTGGGGTAACGAGAGAGGAAATTCCAAAGACTGAATTGACACTGCTGCTTTGTCACTGTAGTCTTCAAAAAGACTCCAATTGACCGAAATGTTTGTACAAGGGAATGCACAAAGTTGCAAACTATACTGGGGAAATAAATGCCACTGTTTCACTTATGTACCTTGAACTGAAATCTGGTAAGAAGAAACCAGTAAATGATACAGACCTAAACTTGATGGAACAGAACTAAGCATTATCAGCTGCCAATAGCTGCAAATCAACTTAAAAAGAGATGTACTTGGGAAAATGTGCAGTTCAAAGTCTAGCAATTATAGGGCCCTTCCACAGAGCCATATAACTCAGACTATCAAGGCTTTGAACTGGGTTATTGCGTCCACACTGCCATATATTCCAGATAATGTGGGATTTTATTCTGCTGTGTGGAAGGGGCCAAAGAGTTATTGAAACTGATATGTCATGTTTATTATTATAATTGAGGACTCAGGTCTGGGGAGGCCCTGCTCTCAAGTATGTTTGGTGGGGATGAGAGACAGGGCCTTCTCAGTGGTGGCCCCTCAGCTATCAAACACCCTACCTAGGGAGATTAGGTCTGCTCCCTCCCTCTCAACATTTCGGAGGCAAGTTAAAACATGGCTGTTCGAGCAAGCGTTTACAAATGCAGAGTAGCTAATATAGGAAATCGAACGATTTGACAATGGAACTGGACAATACTTGATGATAATGAGATGCTAATGATGTTGTTTTTATTGCTTTTGTGGTGTTTTATATTGTTTAATGTTTTTGTATTATGTTTTTATATGTACTGATATGCTGGAAACCGCCTTGAGTCGCCGATTGGCTGAGAAAGGCAGCATACAAATACAGCAAATAAATAAATAATGCGGTAATGTGCCATTGTATGCCATGGACTGTAAGTCACCTTGAGTCTCCCATTGGGGTGAGAAGGGTGGGGTATAAATGTATAATAATAATAATAATAATAATAATAATAATAATAATAATAATAATAACTATAATAATCTCCATAGTTTGAGTACAACCTGCTTATCCCAGAATTATGGTTGCAAAAACTAAGGGCAAATGAAGACTATACACTTGCATCAGTTTCCTCTTGTTCTGCCAACCAGGTTTTATTCTAAAGATAGATATAGATAAATGCACTTCCTACTTTGGGGCAAAATCAAGGACCCCAAAAGTTTTTCAGTGATTTCAATGCAGGCTTAGGATATGCAAGACAATTTAGTTGCTCCAGGGAGAAACGTGTCCTGAAATTTCTCCCAATATTGCTTGTTGTTTTGAATACAACCCTTAGGACCCATGCGACAATTCAATTAACTTGGCCTAGTATATCCCACATTAAAGTGTTTAATTGCTTTTAAATGGCAATACAGTTAGCTGCCTTATTAAAAGCCCCTCTAGAAAGTTCTCAGAGTTTGTCTGCTGAATGAAACTTTGATCTGATTTCCGGTGTCACAACCAAGATGACATTTCAGCCCACATCATCATGCTAAACCAAAACATTGAAAGGTTTTTTGTGGCAGAAGGTCTGTGAACCACATGGCAGGATGCTGCCCCTAAAAATATGTGCTGCAATAGATCGATCCAGTCGTCATCCAGCGCCCATTCTATTAAATGACGTGGCTGTATGTTCTCGGAATGAGGAATGCTTCCTATTCTGCCCACACCTCTGCTAAATATGTGCAGAGAAGGGTGGGCGAACTTCCTGAGTATTGCAGCTTTATCATCAGATCATCTGTTCATCCGTGTAATATGGATTCCTTTGAATAAAAGACTTGTTTATCACGTGTTTACAACATGAACACCCAATGTCAGATGAAACTTGACAGCTTATTTCTGTGAGCTGTGGCTCACAGAAATCTTTGCACCTTTTTGAATTTGGCTCTATGCTCTGCAGGAAGCTACTAGGGTTCGGCCCTTCTGAGGTCCAGTTGTGATTTGGCCATGCTTCTTTGGCCCCATCTAAACTGCCATATAATACTAATCAGAATGCAATTGAACGACATTAAATTGCATTATATAGCAGTGCAATGTAGTTAAGCTGTATTCCGAAACTCTATTATTTGGCAGTGTAGATGGGGCCTTTGAAAATGGAAATGGGGATGATGTAGATTTGAGTTGTCCCTGTACTTTATAATAGGAGTTATGCTTCTTTGTCATGGAAATCTCAGTGTAATCTGAAACCTGCAACACTTTTCTTTGACTATTTTATTCAGCCTGCAACCTCTATCTGGAGGTAAAATGGAGCATCATATCTCCAAACATCTGACCTAATAAATATGTTGTTCAGTAATTATTTCTCTGTACTTAAGCAAATGATTAGTGATATTATTTTTCATTAATTTTTTCTTGAAAAAAGCAGAGAACAGAGGGAATAAACAGTCCTTTTAAACAGTCTTTAAAATATACATCATGTCTTAGAAATGATCAGGCTTCAAAGAGTTGGCAGCCATTTCCTTCCTGGCTGTTTCCAGTCAGCGCTCTCTTCACTCTCTGAGGTGAAAGTGGCAGTTAAACCCATTTGACTCAGCAGCAAGCCAGAGACAGTAACCAATCAGAATTCTGGCTCCTGGCATGGTCAGCCATTCAGCTGCCAACACATGCCTTTCCAGTCAACCTATTACATCATGTTGTCTTTTTTCAAATCCCCACAAAGAGCAACTAGATTTTTGTGAGAAACTCATCAAAAACACACAATTTTATTCCACATAAAATTTGCATGGTCTTGTTTGGACAAAAGACAGCATTCATTGCCCAGAAAATAATCTTTCCATAGAGAACAGTATTTAATAATCTTTCTGCAGAGAACAGTATTTTCTGGACAGAAAAGCTGTATTCTATACAAAAACAACAACATTGTGTAGAATAAGTCCCAAAGTGCAAAGATCCTTGTCAATCTAGGATTTGTTGCATCAGAGTTTCTTGATATGCTAGAAACATGTTTCCCCACCATTTTCAATTTTTATATACTTTCCATCTCTACAAATGAAATGTTGAAAGAAGTTAGAGGAGTGAAAGAAATTAATTGGACATGCTGACTAGTGAATATTGGGAATATTCACTAGTTATATTTTTCAAGATCTACAGAGGTTCATGCACATTCTCTATATAATCCGGATATCCCTCATGACCTCAAGCAATGTAGGAAGGAGCCCACCAACCATGAACAATGAAAAGATGATCTAACATACATTTCTGGTGAATTATGGTGTCGTAGTTTGCATTAAATTGAAATATAGGCCAAATCACTAGAATAGGTCCAAAACAAGTAGACTTAGAATCCCACACTGCAAATTCAGTTCTTAATGAACCCAGTGCTGTACTAGTGCCCTCTTCTTTGGGTGGTGGTATGTTTTTAGGATACATAAGGATCCAATTCAGAGAATGAGTTGCATGAAGACCACCTACTTGCAGTCTCTCACAATATGGACCAGAATTTCACCACCTCAACTACCTTAGTTCACATAATACTTAAAGTTTTAAGGTAACGTACTTAAGCAACTCTGATGATATGGAGACTATATCATGCCACCTCTTCCTTACATAACAAGGGATCCTGAGATGCTCTGGACAATGCAGGAGGAGTTCACACTATGGTTCCTATCAATAAAAACATCAGCTGAGCACACAGAGGTGTGTTCCCAGGTTCTAGCTATGCAACCAAATCACTTACTGACAGTGAAGTAATATGTTACTGATAATGATACAGCTTTCCCACATTCAAAGCATGATAATCCTTTCTGTATAACAGTAGCTACAGGAGATGCAGTTGTGATCCTTACCCAGCACTAATCCATCTCTAGGAAATTCCCATCTTGAATCGTAAGGCAACTGCATGGGATCCACATATATATATTCATGGCCATCTGGGCTGATAGACTCGATGACTCTCCATCTAATCTCGTATCTTGGCTTCTGCAATAGGCAAGAGATGAAATACAGCATGTTATCCTCACCCCTATCAAGTAAAGTGAATGATAAATCTACGAGAGGAGTGTTTTTCTAATTTACCTGTTTCCATATGATAACCAGGACAATCAGCGAAATTATTACAAAGACTAGCAACACTAGGATCGCAGCAGCCAGAGTCAATTCTGATTTTAAAGCTGCAGGGAAAAGAAAAGGAAACCATGATTTACTTTTAGCAGATGGATGGGTCAGAGGAACCAGGGAATCACCTACTTTAAAAAATAGAATAACTTTTGTATCACCTTCTACTACAAAATGTCATGGGTGTCAACAACAATATAATGTTTAAGTTAACCTTCAGAAGCTGTGGCAAATCTAGTATAGCGGAAAATCCTAGAATATGTATCACAGGACTACAGAAAGAAATAATTGCTATAGAATGAACATCTTTGAAGAATTTTTGAAGAATTATGCATATAGGACAGGCTTTGAACTGAGTCGTCGATCACTAAATTAGATCTGGATTTGGAGATATGACAAATAATAATAATAATAATAATAATAATAATAATAATAATAATAATGTATTTTAATTCAATGTTTTATTTCATGCATAATGTTGTTATATTATATTTTACATGTTGTCGGCACCGAATTGTTGCCATTGTAAACTATCCTAAGTCCCCCTTCGGGGGTTGAGAAGGACGGGGTATAAATGTTGGAAACAAATAAATAATAAATAAATATAACCTTCCTATTTTTCTGTCTTCTTTTCTATATCTTTTATTATAATCTTAATGTTTTAAAAGGGGGAGGGGGGCAAGCCCTTGACAAAGGTAAGAACTTTAGCCATGCAACCCTATTTGTGGGTTTTTTTTCATGTAAAAGTTCCACTGCTGTAAGAACTAGAATGGAGAATTAAGCAGGCAATACATGAGTTTTACCATTTTGTTCAACAGTGTTCTCTTATACAGCAACACCCTCCATTATCATGGATGGTGCTTGCCTGCCAGACCTTAGTTATAATAGGAAACTACATATCCTCTCTAAGCATTGGCTAGGTCCTCCAGTGCAACTCTACAGTAACTTCCACAAGAAACATACCATATAATCATCTGGAGGACCTAGTGAATTCCTAGAGAGATCATTTTCCATATGTGCAGATAAGTGAAACTGCAGATATTTAAGTAAACTCTGAAGAAGACCTTTGAGAATAAGGTGAACCAAAAGTCAAAAAAGGTTTCATTATTAACAAACTCCTTTTAATTTTTTAAATATATAATTTTTACATATACAATATATATAGAAAATAAAATTACATTATATGTAAAATCTTTTCAAATATTATTTCAAAAAGTTATTAAAACTTTAGGCACTCTTGTGACTTTTGACCCACCAGATATATATACATATTCATGATTGTGAGGATCTCATTGTTTATGTCTGCCTCACAAGCAGATCTGATTGAACTTCGCAGGACTTTCTTGTGGTTAGAAATACATTGTACTACATTTTTCCTATTTAAATCTGAAGGATATAGAAGTGTTCGACTGACTAAATCATGCCCTTCCCTACTTGTTTAAAAGCAGCTGTCTTTTAATTACCAGTTGCTGCTTCCTGCCTTTCCTAAGATGAAAGACTCATCTTATACTAATCAATACTTCCTCTGTTTAAAAAAACAGCCATGTGGGGCCAAATACTGAGGCAGAGACATGGGACAGTAAGAAGCAGAAGCTCTAACTTTCAAAAGGGAATCTTTGTTAGTCTGATGCACCAAAAACAGTGACGATCCATGCTAAGCTAAGAAATACTGTCATATTATACAATACAATATCGGGCCCCCTAGTGGCACAGCAGGTTAAACCAATGAGCTGCTGAACTTGCTGACCGAAAGGCTGGCGGTTCGAATCCAGGGAGCAGGGTGAGCTCCCACTGTTAGACTTAATGTCAGGGTAAACCTTTACCTTTACTTTACTATATAATGTAATCTTCCTTTGGAAATACATAGAATTATTCTGGGATTAGGCTTGGTTGATCAAAAAATTGGTTCAAAACTCAAAAAAAGATTCAAAAAAGGTGGTTCGATTCTAAAGTCAATTCAGATTTTCACAGAAAACAAAATTCAAAACTTTCAAAACTTTTCAAAACTTCTGAGACTTCCGAATACTTTGGTAATGATTTGAAAGTATATTTCCTGTTTCATAGGGTAGTCTTTACTTTGAAAGTAGTTGTTTTACTCCAGAAGTGGGGAAAAGCAGGCGGAGGAAATTCCTTCCTTCTTTGGTTTAAAACTGGATTCTCTGGCTTAAGTCAAGGCTAGGGATCAGAAGTGAGGGAAAAGCAAGTGGAGGAAATTCCTTCCTTCTCTGGTTTAAAACTGGCTTCTCTGGCTTTTAGCCGAGGCCAGAGACCAGAAGCGGGGAAAAAGCAGGCGGAGGAAATTCCTTCCTTCTCTGGTTTAAAACCAGAGAGGGAAGGAATTTCCTCCATTTGCCCCCTTCCCCCCCTCTTCTGGTCCCTCTGTCTTGGGTTGAGCCAAGGCCATTAACCAGAAGCAGGGGAAAAGCAAGCAGAGGAAATTCATTCTTTCTCTGGTTTTAAACCAGAGAAAGAAGGAATTTCCTCCACTTGCCCCTTCTTCGGGTCCCTCTGCCTCGGCTTGAGCCGAGGCCAGGAACCAGAAGCATGGAAAAGTTGAATAATTTCCGACTAACTTCCTGAGTCGTAACAAAAATGGTGGAAAAAGCTTCGGAAGGGAAAAGAGACTTCCGGTTTTTAAAAAAGCTTCAATATCGCTTCAAAAAGGTAATTTTAATGAAATTACTATGAGCTACTAGTTATCCGATTCTATCCATGCCTGTCTGGGATCTTAGGCATAGCAACATAAGTAATAAGTATCTGACTATATTTTAGTTTTAATATATACAAGATAACAAGATATATTCGTATTTACAATATGCATAATATTTATCAAGCTATTTTGGCTTTCGACAAAAAATAATGCTATACTGCACTCTTGGAAAACTGATACATACGTTCCAAATGAGGACGGACAAAGTATGCAGTCCTTGAGCTTCCCAGGAGCTCCCCCCTTCTTTAATTAAAATATATCCTGGGGATTTGGGGGTAATCTCTTCTAATCTGGTTAAATTAACTGAATGGTGCCTGAAAATGCAACCATTTTCCTTCTCTCCCACTGGAGACCCCACAACTTTAGAGATCCTGCTCCCCAACTGGCAAATAATCTCTCCAATTTGAAGTTAGAAGTATGTGTAATAGGGCTAGGTAACCACAGAAAAATTTGTTTCTAAACTCGATTCGTTTTTAGGGGGTTTTTGCATTTCGTTTTTTAAAAGAATTCCGAAATTTTTCTTTAAAAAAGTTCGAAATATACGAAATTTCGTAAATTACGAAACAATTACGAAACAATTACGAATCGATTCGTTAATGGCGGACGCGATTGCGCAATATGCAAAAAAATCCCTCCAAATGGGACAGGGGGAACTTCTGAAGCTTCCCTCTCCCTCTGTTGTTGACTGTTGGTGTGATAATTTATTTTTTATCACTGATAAAACAAACAACAACCCTAAAACTTGCACCAGACATACGGAAACAATTACAAAACAATTTCGAAACAATTTCGAAACAATTTCGAAACAATTACGAAACAATTACGAAATAAATTGAAAAATTTGTTTCGATTTTTAATTGCTCCTGCATGGCTCAATATCGGATCGTAAGCTAATTTAAATACGAATTAATAACGAATTACGAAATTAACGAACGAAACTGCCCAGCCCTAATGTGTATATGTCAATAAGTGCCTTCACATTGTCTGTTTACTCATGGTGCCCCCATGGATTTCAAATAATACTTGGAGGTCATGCCACCTTCTTCTGAAATATAGCCTGCAACACCTGGTGGTCTCCCATTCAAGTACCCATCCTGTTTTGCTTCTATGATCAGACAGGATCTGGCGCCTTTAATAACAATTATTATTATTATTATTATTATTATTATTATTATTATTATTATTTATACCCGCCACCATCTCCCCATTGGGGATATTTAGGCCCTATAGCTAGAAGTTACATGATATCTGAGTTAAGGCTACACAAAGTTAACTCACTTGGAGCCACAAGCTTCAGTTCCCGTGCTACGGTTCCAAGGTCATTCCTTGCCAGGCATCGAACAGCCAATGTTTCTTGCACCTTCTGAAAAGTCACCTGGCTCTCTACCATGTTCCTCTCATCCAGATGAGTCTCCATAGTAATATCAGAGATATTGTTAGTTAGGAGAGTCCATGAAGTATCATTGCTGCACCTAGAGAGAAAGATGTGTCGATGTAATGTGGGTGATTGGATCATACATTTGGCTTTTATTGAAGCCTGTTCCGTGTTCAAAGAAAAATAGGTCCAAAGGATAAATTTTCTAAGATACCTCACATCCACACTTAAAGACTTCAAAAGCTTTTCCTCCTTACCACAGCTTACCACCTGGGAATTTTGGTGGTGGCATCTAGAAGTCAGAGTTGTATTTCATATCTCTAGACTTTGATCCATTCTGTCCAAACACTGTTTTTGCCTCAGCTGTTACCTGCCTGCTCTAAGGTGAGCTATTTAGTTTACAAAATACTGAATGCCTCCTGATGGAGCAAATATGTTGGGAGTTTAGTATTTATTGCAGTAATTAAGAGATGTTTTTAAAAGAATTATGTTGTCCTGATTTACTATTGTCAGGTTATCTTCTCACAATATTTTATTTTCACCATTTAGTGGATTTGTTTTTAATTCTGAAACATACAGGAATGTATTCTTCCCTTCTCCTCTTCTTTCCCGGAGGTTTACACAGCTGGTAAATTATCAGCAACTATAAGATCTATCAACCTAAAGGTTGCAAGTTCGAACCCCCGGGTCAGCATGAGCAGCCGAAAGTCAATCCTGCTCATGACGACCCGGCATGTTTACCTAAGCAGTTAAAAAACAGCTTTAGCTGTAATTAGAGAAATTAGGTACCGCTAAAAGCGGGGGAGATGTTTTACAATGCCATAAAGTAAAAGAAGATCAGAAAACGCTGGAATGAGGAAGTCCTGACAGCTCTTTGTCATAGAGGATGGAACGACAGCACCTCCTGTGGACTCGAGCCCAACTATCCATGGCATTGAAACACCTCCTTCTGTTCTGTCTGTGTGTACTGTCTATAGAAACAGCATTGAATGTTTGCTGTGTACGTATACTTGTGATCCACTCCGAGTCCCCTTCGGGGTGAGAAGGGTGGAATATAAATAAAGTGGTATTATTATTATTATTATTATTATTATTATTTAAAAATAGGACCATCTCAGAAAATTATGTCCCCATTTGTGGTTTTTTTTTAATGGAAAAACCTGGGGTACAAAATTCCTACGAACAGTTCCCTAAAAGAATGGGATGAATTATTGCAAATCTCTGCAAAGCTGAAGGAGCTATATCTGAAGAACTCCTTCTTTAGAACAATTTGAAAGAGAACACTGTCAAGAAGATAAATCATATAGACCCATCTCATTAGGAAACCATTATAATTGTTTTGTTGTTTGCCTTCAAGTCGTTTCCATCTTATGGTGACCCTAAGGCAACATTTTCATGGGGTTTTCTTGGCAAGATTTGTTCAAAGGAGGTTTGACTTCCTCTGAGACAGAGAGATTAGGTGTTCATGGGTGAGGAGGTCTCCAGAGTCCCAGTCCAACTCTCAAACCATTACACCATCTTGGATCTAGTGATTCATAAATACACTAGACTGGTAGTGTACTTCCTGGAGGAAAGACCTGCTTGATGGAACTGAAATTTGGTGAAGGGGGATTAACTGTATTCTTTAAATATGCCATAGTTCAATCTTGATTGGGCAACCCTGTGACTTTTTGAATATAAAAAATAAATAAATGTATTCACACACTTAACATTGACCTTAGTCTAACTGAAATTTTAAAAAATTCATTAAGTGAAATCATATCCCTGTGAGTACACATATGTCACTGTCTCCTAACATTTAAACCTTCATATGATAATAATAATAATAATCATACAAAATCATATGAAAATACATCATACAGTCCTYTTCACTTGGAAAGTGTTCGACTTGTGATTTTGTGATACAAAATCCAGCATATAGATCTTGTTTGCTGTGACATACTGTGCTTTTGTGTCAGTAAAAATAATAATGATAATAATAATAATAATAATAATAATAATAATAATAATAATAATAATTTATTTATATTCCACCACCATCTTCCAAAAGAGACTCAGGACAGCTTACAAAAGCACTTAGTAGTGCAACAAAACACACAATACAATAAAATACATGTGCATATATAAACAATAACAATGTAAATTTACATAAACAAATATACACAAAACATCATATAAAACCCCTACTGATTAAAAGATTCAGTAAACCTCAACAGTAGCTGCAGATATAAAATAGGCTGTATTCAATATATGTCATATAAAGTGCCAGGGTGAGACAAACATTTATGAGGTTATAAATTTAAAACCATACCATCAAATCAATACTATTCAAAAACAGTCAGAAGCATTTGTTAGTACCTTTTAATATCCTTGCAAATCAACCATTCCACATCAGGGAGAGGTGTCCCTTCAGCCAAGCATTTCACAGTTTGCCCAGCAGAGCCATGGTGATCATCTACTAGGTCTCGAATTAAAGCTGGTACTGAAAAAATAATAAATTTGGAAGATCTGTCAGGCCCACTGCATACTGATAAATGATGAAGAAGATAAGCATATCTTAAAGACTCATATGTATCTGGTATACTCATTCCTACAGGACATCCAGATCCAAAGCACATCATTGTTTGTTTTTCAGGCCATTTCTTGTGAGGAACCAAAATAATTTGCCCTTATATTTCAGCAAGCAGTACTATACTTGTGTCCATGGATTACAATTATTTTGTTCTTTCTGAGAAACTTCCCAGGGACTGAAAACAAATGTCTCATAGACCAGTACTGATTCAAGGAGCACAACTTTTGAGTGTAATTATGTACATTTCTTAAGCTGCAGCTTAAGAATAATAATAATAATAATAATAATAATAATAATAATAATAATAATAATAATGTATTTATAACTCGCCCATCTCTCCTTGAAAAAAATGCATTTAATTTGGTGATTCTCTTCTTTTTTTCACTAAACACACATAGGACTGAACTGCTAGCTACACTTTAGGAATTCTGTCTAGGCACCTTGAAATAAAAGTTTGCCAACATTTTTAGAGTTCAACAGAAAGAATTTAAGATCTTATAAAACCCACACCACTGAATGTTGTATAACACAAAACTGTCATGAGGAAAAACAGTTTATAGTTTACAGAAAATGCAGTAGAATAAGCAAGCAACAGTATCAGTGGGCAAGGAATGAGAAGACATCAATATGGACACTTTCCAGATTCTCTATAAAAACATTATACAACAGTGGTCACCAAGATAAGTTTGTGATTTCTTGTCCCTTTAATGTACCCCTTCCTCTCTTCGAATTAAATCCATGTGAAAGGGATTATTTTCTGACTTTCAGCCAGGCAAAGCAGATGTTTAAATGTGTCAACATCTGGGACAAAAATAATTTCCGAAGTATCATCCACAGATATCAGCAGTTTGTTCCTAGGTAATCTGCCGTGTTATTGACTCTGATTTTCAGAAATATGATTTATGCCATATGGTGTTTCTTGACAGAATGCAAATGCTAAATATGCTATGACAGATACATTTACTTTCTGGGGTCAGACTTAATGTACAGATTGTTATTTACTCTAAAGGCTTATAATAAGGCTAAAAACCATGGAATAAGTGAGCTATTTAGATTACATATGGCTAAAGTTTGGTCTATCATCTAAAGAGTAGAGGGGATGTTAAAATTGTTCTTAAAAAACAAGAAGAGTGTAAATTTCAAATGGAGGGGGTATCAATTCGATGGTTGAATGTTTCTCTGTGGTATGGAAAACATTTCCAACACATTAAAAATTTAAAGTCAAGAAAGCTATTCCAACTTAAACTTATATCTGCTAGGCTATCCTATGTATACTAATTGTTCATCATGTCAATATGTTTAGATTTAATTGGGGGAGGCTTTGCTTCAAAGGCTAGTAAAGAAATCTAAACAAATACATTTAAATAATTTTAAACCCTATAAACTATAATCTGAATGTGCTATAACTGTGTAGTGTGACAGGCTCCTTGATGCCAAATCCCAAAGAGATTTGGTACTGTAGCTAAATCAGGGAGACTAGTTTCTACATGGATAATCTATAATGTCTACATGGCTATTTCCAATTTCAGTTTTAAACCAATCTTGGAAAGACATTAGTTATGATTTGCTCAAAGTTACTCAGTGTCCTTCATGGCTGAACAAGGATTTGAACCCAGTCTCCCAGGTCTAAATCTTAAAAAATTAGATTTTTTGCATGCAATCCCAATTCAAATTCACTTGTTGGCCCATGGATCCCCCATACATGAAACTGATCCCCACCTTTTCTACTTCTGTTTCAACACTATACTTTAATATAGACTTCACCCATTCTAGATGTTTACCTTGTATGAGCAGAGAGAAAGTATATCTTTGAATTTCATCTTCATTCTGTGCTACAAGAGTGTAGTACCCACTGTCTTCTTCCTTGGCACGAATTAATTTTAGCACACTTTGGTACCTATAGAAGATAGACAAAACATGGTCACTTTTGCAAAACAGCACAACTACATGATTCTAAAGAAACAGAATAGATACACTGGAAAGCAATTATATGAGAAAAAGACATTTCCTATAAGGAAACGTTCCTTTTTTGGAACAAAGTCTTTTTCTTGATCCTGAATACACTGATATGGAAATTAATCCTATTTAGAAAGAGATTGTCTTTCAATAAGGCTCTGTGAAAAGAAGTTCAATTTTCTGCTCATATAGTTCTGGATGCAACTTCCTGGTTTGACCAAAGGTTTAGGAAATGGGGGTGAGAGAAGTGCTTGGATCTGATGTGCTATTCCCAAAAGCAAATCTAGGGAATGATCTAGGTCAGGGGTTCTCACACTTTTTAAACAGAGTACCAGGTCAGAGTCCCTCAACCTGTTGGAAGGCTGGATGATAATTTGAAGGGGAAAAATGAATGAATTCCTATGCACACTGCAAAAAAACAGTACTGCAAAAAACACTTAAAAACAATACAATAATTAAAATGCAGAACAATTTTAACAAATATAAACTTATTAGTATTTCAATGGGAACTGTGGGCCTACTTTTGGCTGATGAGATAGGATTGATGTTCTTGTTGTGTGCTTTCAAGTCATTTCACACTTAGGTTGACCCTGAGTGAGGGCCGGGTAAATGACCTTGGAGAGCCATATCCGGTCCCCAGGCCTTAGTTTGAGGACCCCTGATCTAGGTAATGCCTCACCTGACCTGGAGGTGAAGACTTGGCATGCCTGAATGAAAAGAATTGACAGTCACATCATTTCACAATTCAGTGCATCCCTGGACCTCATCAGATGGGCCACCAGACTCACCACATGTGGCGAATCTGGTGGTGCCCGGTGGGGAGAACCTGCCACCCCATGCCCCACATCACCTGGCTTCCCCCCTACCTCATCCCACCGGGGGAAGTATCTGCTGTCCAGCTTCCTGGGAAGCTTCCCATGTTGCCACCACAGCAGCATGGACCAGTTCCTCTATATTTTTGCGACGGAGCCCCACCTGAAGTAGTTTTATGCCATGAGATGAGAGCTGGTGGGCTCTGTCATAAAACTATAGAAGGACCAGTACATGCCACTGAAAAGTACCCCATCTAATGAGGTCACCAAAATAATTGAGTGTATTTCAATCTAACTGGAATCAACAAAAATTGAACATTTACATCTCAGTGTTTTTCTGTTTAAATGACTTTATCTTTATCTAAATCATACAATACAGAAGAAAAGAGGAAATGCTCTAATTTGCATAATAATGTGCCTATTTCTCTGAATCACATTTTGTTTCTCAAATAGGCCAAACTTATGCAAGAGATTGTACCCTTAATTTGCTTTACTCTACCTACATGAGTGTAATACCTCAATCAGATGTAATTTTGGAACATATGTAAGAGAACACACCTATGAATCACTGGAATTTTTTTCAGAGGCCCCTTCTATATTGGGCTATATCCCAGGATCTGACCTCAATTTATCTGCTTCAAACTGGATTAAATGAGTCTCCACTGCCAGATAATCTAGAATAAATGGCTAATCTAGGATCAGATCCTGGGATATAGGGCAATGTGGAAGGGGCCTGAGTAACCTATTTATGATCGTGTTACACTATTTGCAATAGATGTGATGTTCAAGCAATCACGAGTGTCTTTTGAAGCTGGTGATGGTCTTCAAAAATGATTGCTAGGTTTTGTCTAGATTTATAATTTGGAAAGACAGAAAATAATTGCTTATGATCAAACATAAGAAAGAAACAAAGCTGAGGTAAGGGAAATTTACATATCCTTTGTGAGCAATTGCAGTATAAGAGGGCACATACAAATAGAAGATGTAGAACTGGATGTTTGCCCATTATGATGGGGGGAAATACCTGGAGCCTATGGAAAAGAAAGAAGGAAGACAAGAAATGGAAAACTGGGATGTTTTCGATAGCTTTTAAAATTAGGAAAGGGGGGATATATAGTGGGGGGGGGGGCTGTCCAGCCTTCTTCAGACATCTACTATAAGAGTGGTACCAATGGCCTAAATCCAGTTATCTGTAGATCCTACAGATGCTGAGAGAAACTGAATGAACTCCGCGGCTTCATTCAGTACAAAAAAAGGCATACGTTTGTGAATGGTATCAGACACATGACAATAATAATAAATATATAAACTGGTCAAAGATAACAGGATGGGAGGAATGGGACCAATGTGAAATTGGTTGGAGTCTCTCTGAAGGATACTTTCCAAGGCAATCCTTTGGTTTGCAATATGGAGAACTAATGGATTTGCTAAGACATCAACCGATAATCTTGGCACATATTTTATTCACCTCGTCTCCTGGATCTGCTTGGAACTAGTGACAATCTCGGTGAGATTCTCCATCAGAGTGACATTGTCCTTTAGCCAAAAGATTCTGGGCTCTGGATATGCATGCACACCAACTATAAATTTTTTAACTTCATGCAGATTGACTGCTTCCATGGGATTAAAATGGGGCTCCAGATGAATGAACCCTTTATCTGTGGGAGGACAAAGATTTCCATGAGTAGCTCCTCAGGACAAGTTTTTAGCATGTTCAGTTAAAAACAGTATGGTAACTAGAAACAGACTGTACCATGAACTGTAATGACGGTTCTTTTTGTTTTCTTTAAGTCTTTGGTCACATGATGAGCTTCACACTCGTAATCTCCACTGTCGCTTACTGAAGCATCAGGAATGGTCACGTTGTAAATCAGTTTCTGGACTGGCACTTTGATGTCTTCAAGTGAGATGATACCTTTGTTCTTCTGCAGTTGGGAATTAACAAATATGTTCATTAAATAGGTTAGCTGAGAAAATAATGTGGCATCCTTATGATCTATTATCATTTTCCATACACACAAAGATCTTCATAGGAAGCTCTCCACCAGGACCCACCGTAATCCAAGGCCAAGTAGGTGAGATGAAGGGTTTAGTAATTTGTTTGGAATTCACTCCCCACAGGGAAGCATTAAATCAGTTCCCTGCTTAACCTCTGGAGACTAGCAAAGACTTTTCTTTATCTCAAAAAAAGTTAAGAAGATAGGATTTATTTATTTATTTATTTTATTTGTCGTGTCAGGGCAACCAGTCAATTATATTACATTTCTAACAGAACAAAGCAAACAAACAGACAAAATACAAAATTTGTGAGTTTGGTAGTTGATTAAATTTCCTTTGACCAGTATCTGGCTACTTGGAGGATAGATAGATATTAATGTCACTACATTGCGGTAAATGAGAGAAACATTTGTGCTGGATTTAATAATATTTGAGATCATTTTTACTAGAATAAAACAAACAAAGCAATCCTGAAAGAATCCCCTAATTCTCCCCCCATAACTTTCCCCCATAACTCTATCCCTTCTTTTATTAAAAAGATAAAAAAATCACAAAAACACAACTCACTTCTCCCCCACTCAAGCCAAAACAGCTATTAAAATTGTATAATATACTTCTATCCTACTAATTTTGTTTCTGTATTCTGTATTTTATTGTGTTGTATTGTATTTTGGGGCTTGGCTTCATGTTAGCCACCCTGAATCCCCATTGTGGAGATGGTGGCGGGATATAAATAAAGATTATATTATTATTATTATTATTATTATTATTATTATTATTATTATTATTATTGCTAAATATAGACAAAGACATGAGTAATAGTAATACAAACCATTTGAACCTTTTGACTGAAATTCAGTTCTTGTAATTTAATTTGTCATACATCATCTCAATTCTCCAACTCTCCCAATTTTTTTCCTTTTAATCTAAATTTATTTTTATTATTTTATTTCATTTACTATACTTCTACCCTACTCTTTCACCCCTTACAGTTTGGCCACTTCAGTGCCACACTGCAAAAACACAGTATGTCAATTGAAAGTATTGCAGTTAATCCTTTTTCCTATATGATATCTTATCGCATTCATCGACATTCACAATGTTCTTATTTCACCAATCCAGTCCCCTACATAAAAAGTCACAATCAATCTGCTCCATCCCTATCTCATCCTGATTTTAGTATTTTCAGCATTTTACTTTTTATCTTGCACAATCAGCCCACTCATTGATATATTATGTTATGTTATTTTACTATGTATGATTTTGCTTTATCATCTTTGTACTCATATGTTGTATGCATTTTATTGTGTTGTTATTGTGTTTTGGTTTTTACTTTATTGTAATATTGGGCTTGGCCTCATGTAAGCCACCCTGAGTCCCCATTGGGGAGATGGTGGCGGGGTATTAAATAAAAATTATTATTATTATTATTATTATTATTATTATTATTATTATTATTAAAGAATTCTCAGTTCATTTATCCCAGTCCATTCTCAGTATTTTCTTGTCCAGCAGAACATCTCTCAAACAGTAAATTGTCTATTTGATTTTAACATGTTTCTCTCTTGAGGGAGGGATAACCTAGCCACATCCACATTATGTCCAATAACATATGAAAGGACACCCACACTGAATTATTGAATGGTATGGGTATCATTAGTGGAATATTTCCAAAGTGAAAAGGCTATGTTCTCAATGATCCTGCAATGTAAGAACGCCTGGAGTACAATGACATTGTACGATAAAACAAAGGCAAAAGCAGGCTAATGCATTACTATGATGGTATAACAGCATGACATAATAATGCCTAGATTCAAGCCATTCTGATGAAGACTAAAAAGGGCATAGGAGCGCACCTTTTTAAGCTTCAGTTTTACCTCACAGGCATAACCCGTTGCAATTATCACAATGGGCTGGACCAAAAACCCATTGGGCAGGCCCATAGCCAGGTTTTTGTTTCGGGGGGGGGGCTGAGTTTGGTTCGGGCGGGGGCTGAGTCTGAGTGAAAGAGGGTCTACCCTAGCAAACCTTTTGTATTCTTACCCCAATACCCCCAGGCATATGGGATATATTGAGCATGGTGATCAGATCATGATATGAATAAACATAACAGTTTAAATAATATACCAGTAAGGCCTTCTCGCGGACCACCATCAGAATTTGGGGGGGGGGGGCTGAAGCTCCCCAAGCCCCCCCCCCCCCGGCTACATGCCTGCCATTGGGATTTGTGACTAAATAAGGAACTCAATTAAGATCTTTATGGGTCTATGCAAAGTGCTACACTCTTCAACATAAGTACTTTCTCATCAACATAAGTGCAACATGTGTGCAACACTATAAACACTCAGTTTTTGTTCTATTATGTTTTCCAGGTTCAAGGGACTGTTATTATTTTATAACCATAGACCCATTTCCTGTCATCCCCATATGTTATCCATCTCCTCATAACATCTTGTAGAGCTCTACATACTAACTTTATTGTTAGTAAAGTGTTGATTCGTAATACCGGCCTAATATAACGAGAAGTTGGGCTCATCTGTTTTTGCTCTATATACATATATATTAAAAAGAAAAACGAAAACTCCACCTACAATACTCTGTGGCCATTTATGCAACAACAAAGGGAGTATTTACCACTTTCCCTGGATATTTCCACTCCAAGTTCACAACTTCATTATCCAAGACCACACAAGTTACAACAATAGTTTCTCCTGTTTTATACACAGTCTTAAGGGATTCAACCTCAACTTGAAGATGGGAAGTGGCTGCAAGCAGAAAAAATAAAATTAATACAGTTAAGAAATGCAGACAGTACAGAGGGTTTTAAATAACTACTGGTTGTTACCAAGTATTTCATATTATGTGGGGTACCCTACCCATTTGAAGCACTACCTTATTGACCATCCTGATTTTGCCAAGCACATCTTCCTCTAATATCCTTTAAGTCACTAAACTTCAAAGCATGCTGACACAGCTGTGACTTTACTAAATATATGACGCCACTCTCCTGATGTGGTAAAACCACATCAAAAGATCCAGAAGGATATATATAGGTTTACCATATACACTCGAGTATAAGCTGATTCGAATATTCGCTGAGGCATCTAATTTTACCACAAAAAACTGGGAAAACTTATTGACTCGAGTATAAGTCAAGAGTGGGAAATGCAGCAGCTACTGGTCAATTTCAAACTAAAAATAGATACCAATTAAATTACATTAATTGAGGCACCAGTAGGTTAAATGTTTTTGAATATTTACATAAAACTGTAATTTAAGATAGAGGTCTGATTAAATCATTATTCTAACCTTCTTCAGTGTAAATGTGCTTATGTATCCTTCCAATAATAATAAAGAGAATAAAATAATAAATGTAATAAAATAGAGTAAAATAATAAATGTAATAATAATAGAATAAAATAATAAATGTAATAATAACAATAATAAATAGAGTAAAATAATGCAAATGTGATAATAATATTTTTTTTGTCGTGTCAGGAGCGACTTGAGAAACTGCAAGTCGCTTCTGGTGTGAGAGAATTGGCCGTCTGCAAGGACGTTGCCCAGGTGACGCCCGGATGATTTGATGTTTTTATCATCCTTGTGGGAGGCTTCTCTCATGTCCCCGCATGAAGAGCTGGAGCTGATAGAGGGAGCTCATCCGCCTCTCCCCGGATTCGAACTTGCGCAACCGGGGGCTCCTGATAATAATAATAATAATAATAATAATAATAATAATAATAATAATAATAATCAGACTCTCTTAGTACTATTATTATTATTAAATTTATTATTATTTTACTCTGATAATAATAATAATAAACAGAATAAAATAATAAATTTAATAATAATAATAATAATAATAATAATAATAATACTAAGAGAGTAAAATAATAAATAACTTTGATTCGAGTATAAGCCAAGGGGGCTTTTCGAACCTAGAAAAAGGGCCAAAAGACTCGGCTTATACTTGAGTATATACGGTACTTTATCTTTGCTTAACATATTCACGGAAGAATAAGTGCTCAGGGAAACACATTCCCTAAAATGTGATGCCATGCTGACCTTACCCTAATATATCATAATTGTACCCTTCAGATACTAATAGGGGGCACACATTCATTATTTGCAATTGAGAAACATGTACCTTTGTAAACGTAGACAATAAATTCACCAGACAGGAACTCCACTGCCTTCACAGTGGTCCTGCATGTATAGGAGCCTGCAGAGAAGTTTCCAATGAAGCCTTGCCGGTTGTCATAAAAGGTGTACACAACCTTTCCTTCACCGTTTGTTAAAGTTACTTGAGCATGAGGATCACTTGTGCGGCAAGGAATGGTGGAGGTCTCGTCTTCCTCAGTAATGACAATGATTGAATCTTCAGGAGATGTAGGGACAAAGGGGACAGCTGGATCTGTTTGGAATAAGATAGCGAGATTCATCAACAGTGACAGAGGAGTAAGTGGTTACTTTTACATCTTCAGCTTCTATCCTGCACCTTCTCTACTTAGGATGGAGTAGAAACATCCTCCAAGACTCCCATGATAGTTTTCCTATACCCAGGTGAGCTTCTGACATCCTGGACACAGTTATACAAGTGGTGGAGAGCAGAATTATTATCTCCATCCTCTAAAATGGGGTGCAAAGAACCCAGGGCCAGGCAAGTTGGACTGGATGGCCCTTGTCTTCTCTTCCAACCCTATAATTCTATGTTTGGAATCTCAGTCAGGTACTGGATTGATGTAAATTATGTTAGACAAGCTATTGCATTTTTTCACAGAAAGTTCTCAATACTGTCAATTGTTCAATAAATAGAGACACAATTATTTCTCTTTTCAATTATGGGAAAAAAGTCAAAACCTGGCTTTGTAATCAGGCTTTCTCAAATGCAATGTAGTAAATAATTAGTTGACCTCAGAATGGCTAACAGTTGCAATCAGATAGAGATTCTGGAATTAGATACAGAGGATTTATGTTTTATGTTTTATTGCTGTTATTGTTTATGGAATTTTATGATGTTTATATGCTTTTAACTGTTTATATTATTGTGGCATCGAATTGTGCTGGTTCTGTAAACCACCCTGAGTCGCCCTCGGGCTGAGAAGGGTGGTATAGAAATATAGTAAATAAAATAAATAAAATAATAAATTTCACAATGAGTAAGCAGAAGGCCATTTGGTCTGCTGCACAGTCTGTTATACTCCAGAATATTTTTTCACTACACTAAAAGTGTATAAGGTCATGTCCAGAGATTTCTCAATTGTTATTAATGGGTCCCTTAGCGACAATATCAATCATAGCTGATGAGATTCCCTGAATCAATGTTTGCCCACCACTACTATCAATCTTCCCCCATGATGTAGAGACACAAAGTGGGGTTGGGCAATATGTAGGGTTACACTCAGAGCAGGCATGTAGCCGGGGGATTGAGGGGCTTCAGTCGCCCCGCCCCCCGAAATTCTCATGCTGGTCCGCGAGAAGGCCTTACTGGTGCATTATTTAAACTGTTATGTTTATTCATATCATGATCTGATCACCATACTCAATATATCCCATATGCATGGGGGTATTGGGATAACGATACAAAAGGTTTGCTAGGGTAGCCCCTCTTTCGCTCAGACTCAGCCCCCCCCCCCACCCCCGAATCAAATCCTGGCTACGGGCCTGACTCAGAGTGATCATGAGCTCCTGGAGATGCCAGGAAATTGGAACTGAATATTGTCTGGAATCCTCTGCAAGGACACATAGAAAAGGCATAGGACAAAAAAAAATGTTTCTAATAAAACTCCCATCATCTCTCCATTCAAAAGCCCTCATTGATAGCCTCCAGTAGAGACACTGAAACAAACTCACCTGGCACGAAGATATAGATATCCTTTCCCTCAACCTCTCCTTCTTCTTCTTGGGAATGATTGTAGTAGCAAGTATACAGTCCAGTATGAGAAGCGGAAGCATTTTTCACTTCCAGCACAGTCACAAAAAAGCCGCTGTTGTTTTCTTCACTTCTGATGTCTATAGTATCGTTGTCTTCAGGTATTGGATGCTGCCAGTTTACTTCACTATCTCCAGAACATTTCAAGGTGAACGGGGAATTCAGCTGCACCTCCATTTCATCTTTGTTTGGAAAAATAGTTGGAAACAAAGTCTGGCAGGAGGCTAACCATGGACCTATGGAAACAGATGTATAAATGTTAGTAGGAAGGTTTTTGTAACCACAACATTTGAGGGGAAATTATGAGCTCATTTGGAATCTCAGCCCCTTTTGTGTACAGGCTATAGATCTGCCTTTAAGTGAGAAGCCCAAATTTCCAAATAGGTAGGACTAGATAATAGAGGTCCCAGCTGAGAACCATGAGAATAGGTTCAAAGGATTTTTTTTAAGGCACCATGACCACCATTTTAATATGACTTGTTCTACATGATTCAACCATGCACATACTTGTACTTTTGGTCCCACATATTCATGGATTCTGTATCCACAAATTCAACCAGCTTGAAAATATCTCCTCTACTTAAGCAAACCTTGATATTGCCATTTCATATAAGGAACGCCATTTTACTGTGCTACTGTATGTAACAGAACTTCAGCATCCACAGATGTGGGGTGGGGGATTCCTAGATACAAACTCCAATGGGATACCAAAGGCCCACTCTATTGTAGCCAAAAGTATGATAGCTGGGACCCTACGCTGGTTGTGAAATGCATGTCTGAATTAATGAGAGGAACACGTGTGCTAGACAGCTCAGCGAGTGAGAGACGTAGCTGTGTCAGAGTCGTGGCAACATTGTTCGCCAGAAAGGGAGAGAGGGAACATTTCTATCCCGTTTACTGCCTTCATAAGCCGTTATCATTTAACATTAAATAAGTCTTACATTACTTCACCCTTATCTTCTCCCACCTGAATTAAATTACTTCACTGCTATCCTGTCACAGCTGTGTCTCTCACTCACGCATGTCTTTCCTTCATTAATTCTGAGCCGCATTGCACAACTAGCGTAGCGTAGGGTTCCAGCTATCATACTTTGGCCCTATTGTATATATAATTGCCTGTGTATGGGGGGGGGTTGTTTGTTTGTTTTTGAAATGCTTGTTATTTGTTGTTCATTCATTCAGTCATCTCCGACTCTTCGTGACCTCATGGACCAGCCCACGCCAGAGCTCCCTGTCGGCCATCACCACCCCCAGTTCCTTCAAGGTCAGTCCAGTCACTTCAAGGATGCCATCCATCCATCTTGCCCTTGGTCGGCCCCTCTTCCTTTTACCTTCCACTTTCCCCAGCATAATTGTCTTCTCGAGGCTTTGCTGTCTCCTCATGATGTGGCCAAAGTACTTCAACTTTGTCTCTAGTATCCTTCCCTCCAATGAGCAGTCGGGCTTTATTTCCTGGAGAATGGACTGGTTGGATCTCCTCACAGTCCAAGGCACTCTCAGAACTTTCCTCCAACACCACAGTGTTTATTATTGCACAAATTAGATGTCACAAATTAGATGTCACTAGGTGGAAATATGTTTGCACTAGTGACATGAAAAAGTGCATGGGGGTTTGTTGGAAAGATTTAGTAGTGGGGGAGTGCCATTGCCTTCCTCTGAGCCTGAGAGAGTGTATCTTGCCAAGAGACTTCATCCCCCCCCCCCCATTTTAATACTTCTAATACAGTCCCCTGATGAAGCATCATGGAGGCCATCAAATGACACAAACGGACATCACTCCGTTATACTTGAAGGGATGTCTGTCTTAAGATGTCTTCTGTCTCCTTGAGAGCAAGGAGATTTCCAGGGAAAGGAAAAGAACCCAGAGTAAGGGTAGCTGCCTTAAGAATGATGCCTTCTGTCGTTAAGCAGATAGTTAAGCTGGGAGTAGGCGATCCTATGTGATGAGCGTAAGTGAATTATCCGTCTTCTTTAAAGACGAAATCCCATGCAAAGAAGACACTTCCTCCAGTTCCATCTGATGAAGCCTGTGGTTGCCTAGTTTCCATAGCTGAATGGGGACTTAGACCATGGGGTCCCAGAGGTCTCCAGCACTCAAGCCATTACATAACACTGGCCCCATGTATTAAACAACTATATGTGGGGTACAATGATGGCTTAAAAAAGATTCTGAGGAGCCCAAAAGTAGCTCTTCTATACTCTAATAAGCATGTATCAGATCACAACTTATTTCTAGGTAGAGCCAGATAGTGCTGACCCACAAATTTTCTAAGGTGTACCTAAGCCTACCCATTGCCTTTGTCTTTGCAGCCTCTACTCACTGGGAAATGAAAACTATTGTCGAAATTCAGTGGCAATGTTTCTATCCTTTTTCTCCTTCTTTGTGTTCTGTTTTTCTCCTTGTGTTATTCTTCCTCAATGAACCAGTCCTTAACCTCCATGACACTGCCCTGCTGGCTTCCTTCTCATTTTTGTGCTTGGCACCTAATTTTTTCCACCATTCCTATGCCACACCCATCTTCTACTAACATTTATTTCTTGCCTTGGGATGTATGCGTTTTATTGGGCTCTGGGAAGTTAGATCTTGAAACAGTCTTTCTGGGGAAGAGACTGAATTGTAAAAACAGGAGGAAAACTGAGCAGAGGACGTAGATTTAAAAATCGATCTTAATATTGAAATTATAGCATTGCTGTCTTGGTTGTTTCTACAGCAGACTTTTTCCATCAAGTCCAACATTCTTAGAATTTAACTTTGCACAGACTGTTGGCTTCTTCTTTCCAGGGCATCATTCAGCACTTCACAAGCAAATGCGTGAAACCAAGAAAGGAAGTTAAAGGTTTGATCCAGACTTCATGTTTTCAAGAACCTGCTGCTCAAGGAGCAGAATTCAGAAATAAGAGGTTACAAAACTAATCTGGAAAGCGATAAACTGGGGGCATAATGACACCAGCTAGTAACTGAATTTTCCGTGTAACGAATAATATTCCCGCATTGCTTTTTCTTGTAACTTTTAGGTGGGCTATTTTTTTTCAAGGGAAATTTGAAACACCCCCACCCCCTTTACCCCTTAAGTCATTATCATGTCATTTTAAAGACTTACACAATGGATTGAGGAAATGGCAGCACCTCTTCCAGACCCATAGCAACCTACCATCAGTAGGCACAATCTACAAGCCATCAGAGTAAAATTCAGAGCAGGGCAGCTATGGAAGGCTGGCGGTCTTCATGAGTTCCCCAGAAGACCTTTGAAGACACCCCTGAATCCATCTGAAAGGGGAAGAAGTGTCCCCAAATACCCTAGGTACATCTTCACCCTTTTGAGGGCATTCCTAGTCCATTGTAAACCCAAGAAAATTGGTTTTTTTAAAACAAAAGCCAGAAAAAATGATGAAATTTGAAGTAGCTCGGATATTTAACCCTACACTTCTTTCTTTCTTTCTTTCTTTCTTTCTTTCTTTCTTTCTTTCTTTCTTTCTTGAATGAGGGTGGTCCTAGGTCTCATTAAATCATGTGAAACATTCTTGATTGTTTCCCTTATCATCTCTTCTCTTAGAAGAGAAAAATAGCAGAGCTGGGGATGAAAACTCAAAACTTTGTGAACACATACATGCCTTGAAATCAGATTATGACAACATGAGAACTGTCAAATGAATAAATTGATTTGTACATGTATTATTTTCCAGTTTAAAAACAGACAACTCCAGGAGGAGTCTACCGTATGTTTATTAGAGTAACATTTTCTTCTATAATTTTGATTCAACCATGTTCAAGATAAAACAATCTACTGTCTGCTGAAGAAGATTGAACTTGATGAACAAAGGGAAGTCTTACCTGTCAAAAAGCAGCCCAGGATCAGGTATGTCCTTTGAGAAGGACCCATCATGATGGTGAACTGAAACCAGATCAGGAAATAAAGACATAATGAGTTGAGGCATCATTAGGAAATGACAACAGCCCATCTTTTGAACTTTACTCAGAAAGCACTCATAAATCAAAAAATATTTGTTCGTACCATCTGTATACAATTGAATCAATACATAGGTAAACCCCATAGATTAAATCTCAGGAGTTAAAGTAGCCCTGAGCAACAGAACCCAAATAATTTTTTTCTGGTTATTGTATAGACTGACAATCACAAGAAATGCTTTTACTATTTTTAATCTTGTCTGTTCAATTTCCTTCATTCTAAGCAGAAAATAGAACTTTAGCATCAGCATAGATAGAGGAAATATGCTATCAGAAAATTCAACAAAAGACAATATATTTTGCACAAAATGTGCATACATTAATTAATATGCAGAGAGCAAATTTAGAAATATTTAATGTAATTTAATATTTAATGTATTTAATGTAATTTAAGAATATTACTGAAAGGCTGCTTTAAGAAAGGATGCCATTTCCTGTGTTTCGGGGCACTTTTGACTTTTTGGAAGATGTTTAAGTTTTATTTATTTTTTTAAAAGCATTGTCAAATGAAAATAAAAAGAAAATGTGTTACGGTAAAAAAAAAGAAAAGAAAAAAAAAGAACATCATCTCCCCATAGCTGGAAGGATTGTGAAAAAAATGGCGTACCTGCCTGTTCAGGGTGCTCTCTAAGTGCTAACTGGATGGACCATATCTAAGTCGCAACTGTCCTTTCAGATTGTTCTTAATATTTAAAGTGGACTTGGGGCCCTTCCACAGAGCCCTATATCCCAGAACATCAAAGCAGAAAATCCCACAAGATCTGCTTTGAACTGGGTTATCTGAGTCCACACTGATATATATTCCAGTTCAAAGCAGATAATGTGGGATTTTATTCAGCTTTGTGGAAGGGGCCTTAGACTAGACATCCTTTCTGTAAAGAAGGCCATCTACTTGAAGAACATACCCTTGAATCTGGCTACAAATCTTGCCCTCATATTTTGTTCCATTAGAAACATCCTCCAACATTCCCAGTTCTGAAATGCAAAGCTTTCAGCAATATCATGAGAGCTTCCTGCAGAATTATAGTTTTCTAAATACAATATTTGAACCCAGATTCTGAGATTCTGAGAATGGCTACCTGTGGTTCCAGGAGGAATCAGTGTTGGGGAGAACAAACAAGGCAGAAAGGGAAACTTAAATCTCAATTAGACTGTTCCACACCCAGGACTCAGTTAGTTACAGTCTTCTCCAAAATACCTTCATTAGCACTAAGAATGTTAACCTCAAGCTGCAGGAATTTCTTGGGAAAACAGACCAAAATAAATCAAGGCCTTGCTTTGACCCAACTCTTCTCCATAAATATCTGTATAAATATCTAAAGAAGGGGGAAAAGGAGTTTGTCCCAAGGAAAGTTGTAGCCCTGTGCTTACACTTGTGAACATAGTGAGTCCACATATTTCCAAAAGAATCAGGAAAGAATCAGGATGCATGATGCATAGCTGACAATGAGAGCAGGGGAGATGTCATTTCTTTTGCGTACAGTTCTAGCATTGCAAATTTGTTGCATATTTTATATTAGAATCCAGAAGGTCATTTCTCATCTATACATTTTTTTTCCTTGCTAGAGAGGAACCAGAATACAATATTGGATTCATGTGCATATCGTTTCATTTCCTTATCAATAAGCAAGTAACATTTTCTCACCACTGTTGTTTTCTCTCATAAGTTTATCAGAGTGAATTTTAATAAATCAATAGACACTCTCTTAAGGAGTACAACCAATATCCTTTTCTCTATGTGCTGAGTATAATTTATTGTCTAGGACAGTCTTATCCCATCCTGTTATTAAATCTCTTGGTATTTCCAACCTGCATGGCTAATTGTTGACAATCCCACAACTTCTGGAAACCAAAGGCTGAGGAAAGTTGACCTTTGGCTCTCTCCAAACTATGTCCTCTGACTGTCTGCTCCTAACCTAAAATACAAACATTGAAAAGTATTTTCAAACTACATTTCTTTTGAGTTCTGGTTGAGTGACTTAAAAGAATTCTAAAAAAAGAACATTTCCAAATTGTGCACCTACTAAACCATGAAAGTTCTGGGCTCCTGAACAGGTTTACTGAAATCCGTGGCACCATTTCACACAAGATGTGCCAGAGTTCATTTGGATGCAGTTGAAATTCATTCTTGTGGAGCAGACTTGCAGGGAAGTGCTCCACTCCATGCCATACAGTGAAACATCCCACTGAATATGCCTAAATACTCAGGTGCACTAAAATAGGCCTTTGAATACTGGCTGTGGCTTAGATGGCAGACAAAGGCCCCTTCTACACTGCCATATAATTCAGGTTATCAAAGCAGAAAATCTAGATTTTATATGGCCGTCTATTATAATAATAATATAATAAAAATAATAAAAGTTTATTTATACCCCACCACTATCTCCCCAAGGGGACTCAGGTCAGCTAACATAAGGCCAAGGCCAAGAATTACAATAAGCAAAGTAAAATACGGACAACAGATAATAATATCTGTTGTACAACAACATGTAAGGGGCCTAAGTTCTCAAAATCTGGAGGAAGCTTTGGACTATGGCTCTTAGTAAAAAAGGTAAAGGTAGTCCCCTGACATTAAGTCCAGTCATGTCTGACTCTGGGGTGTGGTGCTCATCTCCATTTCTAAGCCAAAGAGCCAGCATTGTCCGTAGACACCTCCAAGGTCATGTGGCCGGCATGACTGCATGGAGCACCGTTACTCTTAGTATCTACCAGCTATAGCTGTGCAAAAAATCCAATTAAAAGGTGACTCTGAAACAATGCAACAAGACTTCATAAAGCCAAGAAACTTGTTCTATTGATGTTAGATCCATAATTTCTCCTCTTGTAACAGCTATATAAATAAAAATGTAATGTTCGTTTGTGGGATTAGCATAACTCAAAAACCACTGGGTGAATTGACACCAAATTTGTCCACAAGACACCTACTAACCTAAGGAGCAACCATCACTAAAAAAAATCAATTTTGTCATTTGGGAGTTGTAGTTGCTGGGATTTATAGTTAACCTACAATCAAAGAGCATTCTGAACTCCACCAATGATAGAATTGAACCAACTTGGCACACAGAACTCCCATGACCAACAGAAGAAAATACTGGTGGGCATTGACCTTGAGTTTGGGAAATGTAGTTCACCTACATCCAGAGAGCACTGTGGTCTCACACAATGGCACGAATACTCAATATGCCCAAATATAAACACAGATGGAGTTTGGGTAAAATAGACCTTGACATTTGGGAGTTGTAGTTACTGGGATTTAAAGTTCACCTACAATCAAAGAGCATTCTGAACCCCATCAACACACACACAGAACCCCCATGACCAACAGAAAATACTTAAGGCCATCCAGTCCAACTCTCTTTACCAGGGCAAGAAAATGTAATCAAAGCCCTCTTGATAAAGAGCCATCCAGCCATATATATATATATATATATATATATATATATATATGATTCACTCACACACAGATATAGTATCCTAGATTTGAAAGGGACTCCTAAAGAAGGACAATAATATGTTTCATGTTCCAGAGTAGGCAAACCAGACAATCTCCACATCAATACTGACAAAGAAACAACAAGAAATACTGTTTACCCACAAGCATCAAGACATTGCATATATTAGAAGCCAACACTTTCTCATTACTTTATTTTCCAGCTCAAGAGACTGGGCCACAGCAACGCGTGGCAGGGGATAGCTAGTATACAGTAAAAAAGAAACTAGTGAAAACCGACAATGCTTTATACTAGAGGCCACCATGCATAATATCTCGGCCTTTGCCAGGTACCAGAGATGTGTGTAGGAGATTTACAGCATAACCCTAAGCATTGTTTAGTAAAGATAAAGGTTTTCCCCTGACAATAAGTCCAGTCATGTCCGATCCTGTGGGTTGGTGCTCATCTCCATTTCTAAGCCGAAGAGCCGGCGTTGTCCACAGACACCTCCAAGGTCATGTGGCTGGCATGACTGCATGGAGTGCTGTTACCTTCCCACTGAAGTGGTACCTCTTGATCTACTCACATTTGCGTGTTTTCGAACTGCTAGGTTGGTAAAAGCTGGGGCTGATAGTGGAAGCTCACGCTGCTCCCCAGATTCGAACATGCAACCTTTCAATCAACAAGCTCAGCAGCCAGGCATGTAGCCGGGGGGGGGCTTGGGGGGCTTCAGCCCCCCACCTGAAATTCTGATGGTGGTCCGCGAGAAGGCCTTACTGGTACATTATTTAAACTGTTATGTTTATTCATATCATGATCTGATCACCATGCTCAATATATCCCATATGCATGGGGGTATTGGGGTAATGATACAAAATGTTTGCGAGGGCAGACCCTCTTTCACTCAGACTCAGCCCCTCCCCCCAAACAAAATCCTGACTATGGGCCTGTCAGCAGCCCAGCAGTTTAACCCACAGCATTGTTTAGTCAGAGTTAAATCTCCCTGATTTCAGTGGAGCAAGGCTCTAACAAAGACTGTAAAACATACCGTAAGACTGCTGCTATACAACATCCATCTCTTATCAGCACTTGAGAAAGCTACATTACTGCACCATACTGGCTACAGGATTCAGACAGCTACAACCCCAAATTAGTATTTCCCTTAAAAGTTTCTTTTTGGATTCCCAAAGAACAAGTCATGGTTGCTCCCATATAACTGCCTGTAGGATTGTTGCTCATTTTCTTATGCCTGTTTACTGAAGACTTTAGCACATTTTATTTATTTATTTCGTATCAAAGGCATTGCATACATTAGTTTAGAACCAATAAAAATAGAAGGATTGCAGGTGGCTAAATATCTTTTGACCAAAAACAGGCAACAACAATGGCATTGTCTGCATCCTCCAACAATTCTTCCTCTGTACATGAGGCAGGGCATAGTGGACAAGCAGACAGATGTGGAGTTGTCTGTTCCGCTCCACAGTCACATAAGGTG